AAAGGAGCAAAACTATATAACGAATATATATAAAAAACCTTTAAACAGCTCCCAGCTACGTACCAAGTGTCTTAGCTCGGCCCGTCCCCTTCCGTTAGTCACGGCCTGGACAGTCCTCATGGCACGTATCTGTTTACGTATTGGATATTACGTCATCGACTCCTAGGATAGGTCTCCTGAAGTAGTCGCTTCAACTCGGCTGGTTGTAGCGGACTTAAGGATCCCACTTCCTGCGACTCGCCACGCCTTCTGGTGTAGACCTTGAAGATCGTGGTGACGAACCAATTTAATTTTGTTAAGTTCTCCAATGAGTTGTCGGCTGGGGCCAACATTGAGTTCAAGCTCATGGGCTTGGTAAATTTTAGCTCTTGCCACCAGTATTTGGATGTTTCGTAGTTGTTGTAGATATGGCTTAGGAAAGCGTCGGTGGCGTATCCGTTGTTGTGGATTTGTTCTGTGCAAAGATGGCATTGAAAATCTGCTGTGTCGCTCGGTAGGGTCCTGCGCGGGACATATGATCCGTAATTGAAGTGATGGATGGACGAAAGATCGTATCTGTAGTAGTCACCGCCCATGTGCCAGTGGCTTGAAATTTTTTCCATAATTCTTGATCAAGGTCTTCTTTAAAGTCTTTAAATCCTCTTCGAAATCTGAGAAAGGGTATCGTATATATGTCCACACATGTCTATGCATTGTCTTGCATCTTGTTTCAAGCACATCAGCCTTTATGGCCAAGTTGGTAAGGCACCTCACTAGTAATGAGGAGATCGTCAGTTCGAATCTGGCTGAAGGCAATTTTTGGATTTTTGAGCTAAGTCGAAAGAAATTACCAGTATTCATTTTGTTCGCTTGGAGTAGTCTAATTTTTAACAGGAGTGGTTGGTTTAGACCGTCAGGAGGCTCTGATTTACTCCCCTGTCATGTGCATTCCTGTATTACAAAGGGTTTGGAGAAGAACCGTTGCCGTATTTTCTGTTGCAAACTTCCGGATCTCTAGTTTAGTTTGACTAGAATATTGTCGTTTGTGTCAAAAATCAAAAATTTCTCCATCAAGCAACACATGATAAATAGCAGAAATGTCAGAGTCAATCGCTGATAAGACATACTGTCTCAAAGAACAGATATTTCTGTAAAGACATTCTCATGATCAACTTCTTGTGGCTCCTGCCCAGGATACTGACATCAATATTCCTACTTTAGTTTCAGCTGTCTCTGTAAACTCTGAAGTGAATATAAGATTCCGCGTGAGTTATGAAACAACATTTGAGTAAAATGTGCCAGAATTTCAATAATGGAAACCACTTGCCAAATTCTACATTTTTGCATTCAGGTAAGGGGACAGAAAAGACATGGCGAGCTATACCAACGGAGTTTTCTGCCATGTCTTGAACCCAGAAAGCTAGCTACTACGCGTAGGCTACTAACCGTGTTGGTTTGGGGGTATAATTAGGTTTATAGTTCGCGACTTCTGAGAAGCGTACCGGGTCAGTTATGCTTGTGTGAACGCACGTCTTTTGTGTCGCTTAAAAATCAAGCAAAAATATTGTGCTGGGTTTTAGTGTTGATTTTCTGTCGGGTTGGTCTGAGTTGATATAATCAGGATGACCATCCCACGCTAGGTCTGGTAGCGTGGGAAAGCCCGATTCGACACTTCTCGAGGAATGTGTATCCTAAACGATAGAGCGAAGCTGTTGGATCTAATTTGAGAAAAATCAGCAGACTTGATCCTTTTCTAGAAAGAATGGTAATCTCATGAATACGTATATTATTCTCGCGACCACACATCCAGCTGCATGCTCTAGGCCACACATATCGCCCCACACTCTTAGGCAACAAACCACCTGTAGCATCAGTGCAACACCCGAAAAAAACACGCCACCATCACTTCAGGGGCATTTAATGCCCGGATATAAAGCCCCTAATTTGTGCTCTCATGGTAGTCCGTCAGACGTCAGAGTCACGTGCCGCCGGCTGCCCGCCACTTTCTCAGCCATTGCCCGATGGTCGCACTGCGTCCGCTGCGTTCATTGCCTTTAGGGCTGCTGCCCTCACATCCAGGTGCCGCGCGTGCCTCCCGGTACCTGCATCCAGCACGAATCTTCCCGCGCTCTCACCATCATTTTCATCCCAAAAATTTTTCCACTTCTCCCTCCTAATTACAGAACTCATCAGTCACAATGGGTATGTTGCGCCACTGAGATTTTCGAGCACCGGCAATCCCCAGTCAGGAATGCTGGACATACTTCCAGCCGTTTTGCATTGAAAAAAATCCGTCCGGATCCAGAGATGTTGACCCATGTAATCCCTATTGTGCCAGTCTATCTGCTTACAGTGGCCCTCTATATGAGCACAGGACCCACTTTCCAATACCAGGGCTTATGCACATTTTCCAATCCAATATGTGATCCCATTTGTCGAGCATATCCACCCTTCCGTTTAAAAAGTGAAGGGAGTCTAAAACCACAATGCAAACAATGTGTGGAATCTGACCCCACCCATCCATCAGCACCCTATTCCTGGTCCCAAGACACATGCCTGCCCATCTTTTTCCTGTCAAATTACTAACATTCAGTTAACGTTCCAAAGCTTAGAAGAACCTTCTGTAAGGGTAAGGAATGCCGCAAGCACACCCAACACAAGGTCACCCAATACAAGGCTGGTAAGGCTTCTTTGTTTGCCCAAGGTAAGAGAAGATACGACCGTAAGCAGTCCGGTTTCGGTGGTCAGACCAAGCCAGTTTTCCACAAAAAGGCCAAGACCACCAAGAAGGTTGTCTTGAGATTGGAGTGTGTCAACTGTAAGACCAAGGCCCAGCTCTCCTTGAAGAGATGTAAGCACTTCGAGTTGGGTGGTGACAAGAAGCAAAAGGGTCAAGCTTTGCAATTCTAAAAGTGTTTCCCTCGATCTTTTGCGGCTGCTGGTGCAGGCTGGCGTCTGTATATTACTTTCGGTTTGCCCGGTGTTAATACTTTACCCAATACAAAACCTTATTTGAAGAAACAAGCGCCCATCTCGTAGCTGCGGATGATGATTGTGTATTTAGTTGTTGTCTGTCCATTAACTCTGTAAATTGAGTGGTTTGTTCGCGTATGCTATGTGGTCGTGACATTTGCTATAGCCAAGGCCTGGTGAAACCCCCACGGTTTCAATACGGCTGCGGTTGATTGGCGCTCGAGCTTCTGGTCCCTAATGGCATTTGGTCTTTGGTCCCTAATGGCATTTGGTCTTTTGGTCTCTGTATTTGGTCTTTTGGTCTCTGTATTTGGTCTTCTGGTCTCTAAAGGCACACCGCCTCCTCAAGCCTGGGTAGGTGGCCGAAGCATAGCCTTTGAATATGATCCTTTAGCCTGGGGCCGCTACTTCCCGTTCAACTCCTTCGACCGCTGAACCAAAAACTCGCCTAGCGCCAACAAGGGATCCTCGGGTTTCTTTGCACTCACGTCCTTCAACCCCTCCAAAAGGTGTTCCGTAAGATGCTTGTTTAAATACTGTCTGACCGAGGAGCCACCGACCATTTCGTGCACTGGCGGCTCGCGGGCAGATGCCAGAATCTCTGTCTTGGCTTTCTTTGCTGGAGGCCCGCTGGGATCTGGAGTCTCGTTTTTCTGCTCGGGTGCCACAGGTTCATCCGTCTTCGACGGCTCATGCTGGTTCTGAGGCCCAGCCAGAGGTTCAGTCTTGATTGTGCTGGGCGTGGTTTCGTCTCCTAGAGAAGGCGTGGCTTCCATATTTGCACAGCCGTAAATGTGTGCTTTGAAATCGGCTACAAACAAACGAAGACGTCGGGCGGAGAGAATTAGGCGATTTGTTGGAACGCTTCTCGGGCCGACCGGTAGAAGGTGCGAAGGCTGGCTCTCAGATGCGGCTCCAAAAGTGGCCCTGGCCGCGGCCCCAAAAGCGGGCCTTGCACCGGCCCAATGCCCTCTGATTTGGCCCCGAAAAGCAAGTGCCAAAAGTTTTCGTGCACAGGCATTAGAGCGTCAAGTAGTAAGAAAAAAAAACTATTTCTTGGTGAGCGAAAACGGCTAGGCAAAACACTCATTTGCTCCTCCAGTGCTGGTCTGGTATGAGACACAGGTGGGGCCGGATATCTAGATGGTGCGAGACGGGCCCTGGACAGAGTGCAATCCGTAGTGCCTCGGCGAGGCCCAATATCAGCAAACATGGCAACTCAAGCATACACCCTGACCACCACAAATTGAATGAAATTCTGGGCTTAGACATCATCGCAAAACCCAACCAAAATCTACCAATAGATCTGTAAAATACGGCAGTTCTTCGAGACCGGGCCCGTGTGCTCCTCCCATTTCTTGGAGCCGCAGTGGCCCCGGCACATTTTCGCGCACCGGCCCCATCAGTGCTCTCCTGCAAATCTAGAGGTTTTGGCCTGGGTCCACCAATAAATATCCAGACCCCCCACCACCGAGCCCCAAACAACATAGCGCTCGCACAATGGATCCCTTCAATGAGGTCGAGGAGGACTGCTGGGCGCAGATCCACGCGCTACAATCGTTGGTCTCGTCCACCAAACAAATCACTGGGGAGCGCAAGCTCGATTTCCAGAACGACTATCAGGAGTTGGCCGAAACTTTGGAAGACCTCAGGCAGGCCGTGCACATCTCGGAGCTGAACCCGGCGCAGTTCAGTTTGACATCTTCGGACATAGCGGACCGCAAGCAGATTCTTGCGCACTTGCAGAAGAAAATACACGATCTTAATGACACGTGGAACGAGCTTGTTACGAATCCACACAGGCCACGTGAGGTGACCACGATGTCCAACCGCATCAGCCAGGAAGGCTCGGAAAACCCGTTTGCCGACGACCTGCGCCTAGACCGCGAGTTTGATCTGTTCCAGCAGCAAGAGGTGATCCAGTCACAGGACTTGCAGCTTGACCTGATCCACAAGACCATGCAGAATTTGAATCAGCAGGCTGCCCTCATGGGCAATGAGTTGGAGGACCAAGGATACATGCTAGACGATCTCGATAACGAGATGGACGCTGTGGGCAACAAGTTACAGCGGGGGCTTCGAAGAGTCAACCACGTGATCGAGAGGAACAGGGAGACCGCCAGCAACTGGTGCATAGGCATCCTCGTGGTGGTGTTGTGCATCTTGTTGGTGGTGCTTATCGCCGTGTAGAGCACGGCGATGACCATTAGATGAATACAGTATAAGAGTGAGAGAAGGTAGAGGAGTATAGAGGTGAAGTTCACCGGCATACACAAGAAACAGAGCAGGTTCGAGAGGGAAAATTGGTAAAGACATAACAGGCCGAGAAAGGAATCGCTTTCTCGGCCAAAATTAGTACTGGCTAGAGCTGTCTAAGCTGTTAGTATGAGATACAAATAAATAAGTTTGGAAACAGTGAAGTATCAGACAAAGAAAAATAAGGTAGCTTGGTTTTTTCCACACCGACAGAAAGTCTCGAGCCAAATGCACTCAGAATCATCATATTCACTGTGTAAGATTGAGACATACAATTTTGCACACTGCGAGAGAATCATGCAGCGGGAAATTGCCGGCTCTTTATATATTGTGCGAAGAGGTTACCCGACCCGGCTGCCGCGCGTCGAAAAACGGTGAAACCTCAGGGTTCACCAGAAGACGAAAGACGAAATAGACGGACAAGAATACGGCAAGTATTGTCCGATTTTTTTTTTTTCAATTTCGTATATTGACTTATTTTTTAGTGCTCTCAGTTTGGTGAATTCTGTTTATAGGTTCCAGTAAGTGATATGAGCAATCCGTCTGGAGCACTCTAGCATGTCCTAATGTAAGACTCACCGAGTGCTCCTGTAAATGGACCATCAAGGCCGGCAACTAAAAAATGAACAAACAACAGCCATATCGGTCTCCTGTTAACAAAATGATTCTAAACGAGCGAAACTTTTTTTCATAAAAACGAAAACCCAAAAGTGTTTGGATTGAAGGCAACGTCAACCCATTCGTATTCTGGCTTCTGTATTTTCAAATCAAAAACTATGGGGCTCGGTTGTATTTCCCCGTGCCAATCTGTAGCTTCACCTGCCTTCCTTTGCTACAACATGAAGGCTTGAATATAAAGTATGAAAAATATGAGCATCGTACTACTAATTTACATTCAATTCAAGCAAAATGATGCCGTGAATTCGAAAAATATGACCTCTTGTCCCATCAATCAGGTGATACAAGAGTTTGTAATATCTAAAAAGTACGGGGAGTACTACTCGGATCCTCGCGCAATATTTGCCGGGACAGCTCTACATAAGAATTTTGCATCCATTTCGGTACCTCAAGTATTCTGAAGTAAGGACTGGGCTGACTTAATTTCATTATGATGCATGTCAGAATTCTTTCTTGTTTACCTCTAATCAAGAATCACAGACCAACGTGGCCGGCTCCTTGAACAAGCTAGACAAATGCACTAATTCGCAATGAGTGAATGCGCAAGAATCGAGGTATAACTTCCTCAGACAGCGCGGTGAAGTATGTTTGACATGAATGTAGATCACAGCCTTGTACTTTCCATCGGCCGAGATGACAAAGGGTATTTTCACGAGTTTTTTCCATGAATTTTTCTTCAGTCATTTTTCGAGACTCTTACTCCGTTTTGTCCATGTGGTTTCCTAGCCAGGAATGAGACGACACGTTGGATTATTTTAAACTAGGTTGCATTTATGTTACTGGTCATACTTCTGTCGAGCAATCATGGGGAGAGACATTGCTTTCCCGAAGTTCGAAGTATACTTAGTGGCGCATATGTACGTTCATTAGGTAGGCTGAGACTCACCAAGCAACATTGGTATAGAGTGTTGTGGTTGATCAGCCCTGAGAAGCGTCTCATATTTGTTTTTTATAACTTTACGTGTGTATTGGCCAAAATTGTGCTGTAAGTCATACTAATGAGGTGTTGCTGAGACTCCGGATCCGTGCAATGCTTTTGATTCATTCCACTAGCACAACGACTGTCGCACCCCAGTTACTATAGAAAGCGCGCTTCAACTCAAGGTCATCTCTGACGCCCAAGAAATCAGGCTCTTTCCGGTTCTTATCTTTAAGTACAGAATCCATAATTGGGCTTCATTTGAGAAATCCCAACTGGGGCCTCGTATTTCCATTGTATCAAAATAATTAGTCTCGTCTTTGTATGCAGTCTGCCTCGATTAATCACGAACCTGACGGTGGATTCCCAAGACATTTAACCAACTTATTTTCCATCAAGCCGGCTGTTGCTCCGTCCCTTCTTTTTTACGCTCTTCACCCAAACCTCAGATTTGCCAGATAGTATCATCTTGCCACACACATGTCTTCACAAGACAGGTCTCGGTACCGCGTTGAGGTGCAACAAATGATGTTTGTTTCTGGCGAGACTAACGACCCGCCCGTGGAAACAACCTCGCTCATTGAAGATATCGTCAGGGGCCAAGTTATTGAGATTCTTCTACAAGCAACAAAAACGGCGGCTTCACGAGGAACACGGTCCATTGCTCCTGAAGACGTGATCTTCCTAATAAGACATGACCGTGCCAAAGTGACCCGCTTGATCACATATTTGTCATGGAAGGACGTGAGAAAAAACACCAAGGACGAAGGCGGTGGCACTGAGTCGTTAATGGAACAAGAAAGCGGTGCTGCAGCGGCCCCTGCGGGCAATGACCAGTCGAAAATGATCACACGGTACAGAAAACTGAAAATCAGATTGCCCTGGGAAGTCCAATTCATGTTCAGTGAGCAGCATTTGGAAACTGCCGAGGAGGCTGAGGAAGTGGACGATGAGGAAAAAGCCGCCACGTTGGCGTCGGTGAAGCGGTTGAAAATGGCCGACGAACGTACAAAGTATATGACCAAGGAGGAGTATGTTCATTGGTCCGAATGCAGACAAGCGTCGTTCACATTTCGTAAGGCAAAAAAGTTTCGGGAATGGGCGCAGATTACGCAGATCTGCGAATCGAGACCCAATGATGATGTCATTGATATCTTGGGGTTTCTTACTTTTGAGATCGTTTGTTCATTGACCGAGGAGGCGATGGCCATCAAGGTTTCTGAGGATAAGCTTGTCCAACAGTCGCTCCTGAAAACCGGCACGCTCAACAAGGAAATCGATAAGCGAAAAAGAAAATACTTGTTTGACCGGCCAGACGAGCTGGCGAAGCCGCTACAGCCTTACCATATAGAAGAGGCGTGGAGAAGACTCCAAGCGATAGACTACAAGCACAAGGCAACGCGGTCCTTTGGAGGTGGCATGCTCAAGTCTAGGACAAAGGTGATATAGTGAGGTTTTCATGTTTCGTATGTGCTGATGGATGTACAGAAATGTTTAGACTTTGCTACTAAAGGGTCCGGTGGCCAATACTTCTTCGACGCCATCGTGGAATTTGCGCCAACCAAGAAAGTCTAACAAGCCCCTCGTGTGAGAGGTGCACATGTTCGATTTGTCCAACTCAATAATGCCTTGTTGGAACGAGGCCCAATATCGGGCCATGGGAGCCAAATCTTTAATGAATGCCTGGGGACTCATGCTGAAGCATACTGAGGTATCCGGTAAGCCCTGTGTCTCGGGCTGATCGTCCGGAATATCATCTGATGACCGGCTTCTTGTTTGAACACGCGTGCTATAGAGTTCTTGGATAAATTTAGGGAGTTTCTTGGCCCTTGAAGATATGAAGTTGAGCACTGTGCCCCTTATATCGTTGAAGTTCATTCTGTAGTTGTGTGCTGGTTCCTCCTCCTGCTCGAATAGCTCCTTGATTAAATTACCCGTATTAAGCTCGTAAGGTAGAGTTCGTTGTTTCAAATGATGAGAGTCGTCAATGACGTAAATATCAAGAAGCTCGTTGATTTGAACATCATGTAGAATTGAGGAGTGCGTGTTGGCCTCGATAATGTCTGAAACAGACACAGCATCTAACTTGTCAGCCACGGAACTTATGTCGGTGGTAATTGCTTGTTTCGAGGGTTGTGGAATGTACAGAATTTCGGAAATTCCCGAAGCGGGTGGTCGAACACGGCATAACCATTGACAGCGCATCAAAGCTTTCCGCAAATCTGTGCCTGACTTTGTTTCACAATCACGAATGATGCCATCAAGCACCTCGGGTGCCAAACATACCTTCTCGCTGAACGCACAAAGCCACAAATACTGCTTAATCTCGTTGATTGACTTGGTTTTCAATTTGAGAACTGCGCTCTGCTCCTCTGCGAGCTCAAGAATGTTTCTTGGTATCACACTGACATCTTTCACCGTGACAACTATAGGCCGCCTGGAATAATTAATTACCTCTTGGACCGTAGTCCAGAAGGTCTTGTCCTGCTCAAAAAGAATATCACAGTCTTCAAACAAGACTAGTCCTTTTTGAAATTTCTTTTCGTCATGCTTTTGGTGAATGATCTGCGATGTGCAAAATTCTCGAAGAGACGAATGTATGTCTTTTCTAGACCTTGCCTGACCCGTGTTAATTTCATGTACATAGCCATCCATTGCGGACATTGCAGCATAAATGGATGCAGACTTACACGAACCAGAGTCTCCTTGAACCACAAGAATGGGCACAAATATATCTTCATCCGTGCTTTCATCGTCCTCCTCGAAGTCGTTGACAATGAAGCTCAGCATCAAGACTTCTCGCTTCCGCTGTTTCTTCTGTTGTTCTTTCATCTTCACATTTCGAGGCACCTTCGTTGATTGAGTCTCCAATACCTCGAAAGCGTTGAACATCCATCTGTCGAGAAACAGGCGCGACTCTTGGTCCATTAGTAAGGATTCAATCTGGCTAGGCTGGAATTTCTGCGGCCAGTTCAAATGGCTTGATGGCGATGAATCGTTTTGTATAAATTCAGAAAGAATGTTGATGTGGGGTGGGCTCGCGAAAGCCAATGGGGCATTCCTTTTGATGAGTGTCTCCGAATCAAGTGATTTGAGAATCTCATATCGTAGCCGTGGGATAGTATGTGTGGATTTCGATGTAGTGGGGAGATCTGGCACAAATTCGGACATACTTCCCCCAGATAAATCGATATTTGGTTGCTTAACTTTGCTTAGTGATATGCCGGTGACGGGCGGTATCCTTGATTTGCCTATATCGTGTACCACATGCATAGCATATCTAGGAATTGGCAGAGGATGTAGTCCCTTGAGTCTTTGTATTGCGGTCAATTTGGGCGAGTTTTCAGAGGCGTATTTCATCATCATTGCAAACACGCCATTGGCACTCTTACCGTCATGACTACCGGAACTTCTCGTGTAAAAAGGGTTCATCGATTTTGAGATTTTCTCCAAAAAAGGCTTAGGTAATCGAAGCGTGACTTTGGTAGCAGGTTTCCTCTTCATTAGTGCTGAGAGTATTGAATCTCCAGGACCTGAGTTGCCTTTCGTTCTGAGCGGGTTTTCAAAGCTCTTGATCGCTGCTAATTTTTCAGGCGTAATTTTTAGACGGACTTTCAAGGTCCAATGGCCATTTGCCTTCTTTATACGACGGGGGGCAAATGAGTCAAAAATATCGCGTGCTTTCACTGATTTTGTTGCCGGAAAGAGCAGGTCTAGATCTTGGAGCTGCTCGGTCAGCTTGGCCAAATTTGTTTGTTGAGCATTGCCTTCGAATTTGACAATTTCTGATTCTGAGGAAGACTTGTCGGGGATCATCGTGGCAGGCTCGTGCTCGCCACCATGGGCCAGTATGGAGTGGTTGTTTTTCTTTAAAAAGTCCTTAACTGAAACAGTTTTTCCCGAGGAAAACACCTTGCGTTCGAGGTCTTCGATTGCCTGTAATCTTTCCGTATTTCTCTCGAATTCTCCCGCGTCAAACGAAGTATCTGGCACATCCGAAGCATCTGAAAAGGACATGAATTTTGGGTCGCAAATCGACAGTAAAAGATCGTTTTGTTCCGACTCGCCGGGTGTCTTTTTCTGCCTCTTGGTGTACTTGCGCTTCTTCCCTATTTGACTGCCTGATAATAGTGACATGAGCCGGTTTTTCGGTGCCCCTAAGATTGGCTCGTTTCGCGTACTGGCATCCACCGAGCTCATATCGTCCACTGTGACATCCTCTATTGGATCTGTCTCTGCGCCTGAGTCTTCTTCAGACAGATGCATGGAAACTTCGCTTTCTGGATATTCTATAGCAGTGCTTGCGTGAAGATACTGCTCCAGGCCAAGCAGCATTTCCACGTTGAAGTGCGGAGAAAGCTTTGTAATGATCTATGAGATCTGGGTCAAAACGCGTATTGAGTGCGGACCGCGATTCGCGTCTGGCCCGATGATAGGCAACAAGCCCCAGAACAGAGAAGTCGTGCAACAATCTTGCAATTTCTAGGATCCGAAATAGTTTCTGTTTTCTTCCTGTGAGTCTCTAGTGGACATTTGTGTTTCCAGAAGAAAAGGAACAGGTATCTATTTTTGCATGGCGTTTTATGTGCTTCATTAAGAGAGACGCGAAGATTGTATAAATAAAGCGATACTTTCTTTTCCAATTACTGTCCGTAAAATTGAAAAATGACTCACGATATTTTACAGGGACCAAGCCTTGTATTCCCAGATGTAAAAGTTTGACTACCATGGAGCAACATACTTTAAAGCTCTTTATAAGAGGAAACAGAAGCATCTAAGAAGCATTTTCGATCTTCATCAATGTCTTGCACCCAGCGCACGGTCTCTAACTACAGGCCCGACTCATCAGATAGACCTGTGCGCTTGACAGATCCAAAGCACTGGTATATTATTAGACACTAAACAGCTGCAAATAACCGCAGGTCGTTCATTACTCTATTTGCTAGCGTAAGAACCCCCCAGAAATTCTCTAAATATAGCCGGGCACTGGGCTGATTTTACACTGGGCTAGAAAGCGTTCTATAGATCTTCACATGAGTGGGTTCTCATTCAGCCTAAAGACCAACAAAGTCACAAAAGATAAGAAAGTCAAACCGGGTCTCACCAGAAGAACCGTTCCAAAAAAGAACGCGTTGTTTCACGATGAAGACGCTACAACAGACAAGAAGACCTCCATAGACGCATTTGACTCTAGTAAGGGCGCCATGCTGGGCTCAACGGCCGTGTCAGAAACACCTGTTTTGATCATAGAACCGGTGAATAGGACACACAGGCTTCGGAGGCCCAGCATTTCTGCGTATACCGGTGATGATTCCGAAAACGCCGATACCAGCAAGCTACTGGCCGAGGAGAAAGCGCGGATATCGCTTCTCAAAGGGGAGCTGTACCAAGAAACGAGCAGCAAAGTCATTGCCAGTCATTCTGAAGACGGCGACGCAGAAGCTGCACCCGAGGATTACGAAGCCGTTCCAGTGGACCAGTTCGGGGCTGCTCTTCTACGGGGTATGGGCTGGTCTGGCGAACCGGAACCGAACAATCAAGCCGGTCAAGATGTGTCCCATCGGAAACAGGGTGCTGTGTTAGGTATAGGGGCCAAATCTATTGACAAAGATCTAGAGGCAGAGTTGTTGAGCAAGAAAAACTTAGGGGTGCCGTTGATAAAACGGGAGAGGTGAGACATACTGAATCGTGTCTCATTGTATGCTATGTCTTTAAGTCTAGGCCAAGACGCCCAAGCCCAATAGGAGGATCTGGCTCATCACCGAGTGGGACCACATGGTGGACTTTTCGCGCATGATCCGCTTCTCGTCCGACTCGATCATCCGCGTGAACTCTTCGTAAATGTCGCCGATTATCGCATCATACATTTTCGTTTGTGAAATGTTGTCCACATTGTACAAGTCAGTGAGCTTCTCGATGACGGTAGTCTTGATCACCAAAGGCCTCTCGGTCTCAAGGCCATTGATATAAGATATCAAGGACCGCAAGTTCTGAAGAGAGGTGAAAGGGACAGATACCGAAGATGCCATGGGTAAATGCGGAGGTAATGAAGCCTTCAAGTCGGTGAACTTGACCTTCACATTCACAATCACGTAGTCAGAGTCACGCACCGGGACTTTCTTCTCGGAGCTACTGGCGAATGTCTCGTATATAGCCATCAAAGCGCCCTTGAGGAGATTGCCTTCGCCAGAAGAAGCAGCATTTGAGGCCGGTTTCGGGTTGGTCAAGTTTCCCAATTCTTCTAGAAACCTCCGGAACGCGCCCGAAGTTGCAACTGCAGGGCTTTCGTAGTCTGCGTTCAAATTCTCGAGATTGGGCAATCTAATGTCTGCCACAATCTCGGCCTTGCCACTAGCCAACCAGTTGAACTTCAGTTTTGGGTTGGCCGAGGAGAGAGAGCCCATATCTATACCATCAAGCTTGAACGTGACCGTGTTGTCGCTGTCCAAAAAAGTTTGGTGTTTGTGAATGGTGAACATGGAGTTGTTGACAGTGCCTGTGACAATGTCTGCGTTGAAGAAATCAATCAACAACCTGTCGCCTCTGAGGCGTGGCAAGTCGCAGTTGAATATGGAAACGTTGAGCGCGTTTGTGTCCTGGTTTCCGTGGATCTCCACAAAAGAGTCACGGATTTTGACACTGGCCAATTCATAGTTGGAGTCTAGGAACGAGAAGCCGGTAGCGCCTGCCATGTTGGTGAGTTCCTCGACCTTGTGCTCTCTGAGGTCATTTTGAAGCTCATGGGAATCGTGGTATCCGCTGAAAGACAAGGCCAAAGAGTTGAAAGTCGGGTGGATTGTTTGTTCCATGACTTGCCTCGTGTGTGTTCCGTCATTTCTTGCCACTTTCGCATGCATACCAAAAATCTCCAAGTCATAGATGAGGCCCTTTCCCTCGTACCATTTCTTGAAAGAAAGGCTGAGATTGAGGGCGGCGATCTTTGCCGAAAAGTCCAACGAAGCCAGCTTGGAGGACGGTTCAGTCAGTAGGATAGTGACGTTCTTGAACTTGAGCATGCCGTCCTCGAGGTGGGGCAAAACGTGCCCCTTTTCAAACGCAATGTGGGCCCCGAGGCCGTGCGACAAGACGCTTCCAGCTATGCGGCTGAGAAGGCTCTCGTCCTTGGCCCGGGATTTGTCCTTGCTTCCATCCGATGTCTCGTCGCCGTAGATGGTGTTCCAGAACTGGTCAAGCGTGTTGATGAAGTACATGGCCACCAAGACAAAAGTGGTTGTTCCCAAGAAGACCCAGAGCACCTGGCCCATAACGACCCAGGATGCAAAGGCCGAGAAGTCGTCGACAGAAAACGGCCGGTCGTTTCTTGTGAGGGGCCATCTGATGTGGACCCAGAGCCGCGCTGCCGGCGAGGACGCTTGTTGCAAAAGCATGGATTTTGTGACGGCACCGTTTGTCTTTGCTGGGAGAGGTGTTTCTGTGAGTTCTGTGGCCGTCTTTTCGATAGGTAGACTGGGCCTGGAACCGAGTGCAGGCTTTTCTGGGGTATCCGGGGCCAAATTGCGCCGCGAGACCAGCATGGGCCTCACAAAGATGTGTGGGTTTGGAGGCTGCCCAAAACTCGTGTTTTGAGCGCCATGGTATAGGTGTCTGTGTAAAGGGAAGAAGGCCGATTTCAGTGAGAGATGCGAGTATGGTTTGGGTGCCACGGGCCAGGCAAGCCGGGAGGCCCGACGGAAAAGCCGCGGCTGCATGTATCTGTTGAGGAGCATAGCAGGAGCAGAAACCAGAGTCTTAGAACGAAAATAAATATGAAGCAGGCCGGATATGTGGTGGGGCCGATGGAGTAGGAGGCCTCGTAGATGTATCCAATCGCCTGCGCGCAATGAGTATGGGGAAGTGTCACGTGGTATCCGCCATGTAGGCATCCCTCACGTGGCAAGAGGAAAAAACTTCCGTACAGGGAAAGTTTTTTCCCTTTCCTTTCTTCCTTAAGGGTTTTTAGAGAATAGTAGTATCCTAAGGATCCGAAGTACCGTACATACTTGAATTGAGAAATCTGATACTGAAAGGAAGCGAAAAAATAGAGGCAATAAAAAATAAAAAAAAAAAAGACGTTCCGCGCGCGGTGACCCCGGAGCAAGAAAATGTGGAAAAACTGTGCTTGGGCCAGTCGGGGCAGGTGGAGGCAGCAAGCGGGGCAGATGCCACATTGGGCTGTCGGCCGATTTTTTTTTGAGGGAGTAGAGCACTTTCTGGGGTGCCGGCCGTGATTCAGAAATCTTCAAAAAGGTGCCTTGTTTATTTTGCTGGGTTTATTGATCCTCCAGTAGTAGTATTGTTTTCGGCTTGCTACGCGGTGCGGGTCTGCAAGTTGCGGGGCCGGTTTTTCCCCCGGGCCCGGAGCATGATCTGTATTGCCGCGACAATGAGGCGCCAGTCCCAAGAGGTTTTTTTATTAAAGTCGGTTTCAGTTCTGGGCAGTTTTGGAAAGCCCAAATCACAGGGCAAACATTTTTCGAAAACACCGAAGCCTTGAACCGAAGCCCGGTATCCAGCTTCCAATTGGAGGCGGTCTGGGGGCCTCGTGGCAGAAATGAAAAGTCTCGATCACTGCGAATCTGGCGCCGGCAGACTGGGAGGCTCGAGACTGGCAGGCCGTGAACGGAAGCGCTTGCCAGGCTTACTGCGAAAATGGGGCCCCAAGGAACCTGATGGCCTAAAGCGCGGCTCATGGGCGAACAGGCGGAATTCGCACCCATTTTTTTTTTCGCGAGACGAAAAAAAATACCCCATCGGTCACGTGCCTCTCATCTCACCATCGTTTTCCATCAGACCTCTTCGGCCAATTCTAGCCTCCCGAATACGATTCCCAACATTACCACTATGGCTGCGCCCACCGCGATAAAGAATTCTGCTGCTGCACAGCCCGTACAGGCGCCTGTTGAAAATGAAGAGGTTTTGATCAACACAACCGGGATCCCCACGCAGCTGGAAAAGCCTGCCGACAACGAAGATGAGGAAATGAAGGACGACCCCCAGGAGAGCTCCACGCTTGTTTTGGACGAAAGCGGAAAACCCAGATTTGCCGCCGCGTCCAAGAGTGGGATGAAGGTCAAGTTGGAGAGCAGAAAAGTGCCGGTGCCTCCCCACAGAATGACTCCATTGAAGAACACATGGATGAAGATCTACCCCCCGCTTGTGGACCACCTCAAGTTGCAGGTCAGAATGAACTTGAAGACCAAGACTGTCGAAATGAGGACAAACAAATTTACAGAAGACCAGGGTGCGTTGCAGAAGGGCGCCGATTTCATCAAGGCCTTCACGTTGGGCTTTGATGTCGATGATGCCATCGCGCTCTTGAGATTGGACGACCTATATATCGAGACCTTCGAAGTCAAGGACGTCAAGACTTTGACTGGAGACCACTTGTCGAGAGCTATTGGCCGTATTGCCGGCAAAGATGGAAAGACGAAGTTTGCCATTGAGAATGCCACCAGGACGAGAATCGTCTTGGCCGACTCGAAGATCCACATCTTGGGTGGCTTCACACACATCAGAATGGCCAGGGAAGCCGTCGTGTCGCTCATCTTGGGTTCGCCTCCAGGAAAGGTGTACGGAAACTTGCGTACTGTGGCCTCCAGAATGAAAGAGCGCTACTGATGCGAGTATCATATCTTCTTATATTCCCTTGCATGTACATTATATCTGGTGCTGTTTTTACATCTCGCTCCGAGTTCTTGGACGAGACGCAGGTCAGAATTTCAATCGAAATAATCCTAGAATCGACAAAATATTTCCACTGGTCAGTAGACACGCCGTCGCCGCCATTCTTTCTGCAGAACAAGGTGAAGAGCGAACTTCACTTTGTAGGGCCCGGCTTTTCATGCTGGGAGCCTTCGCCACAAGTTCTGATATGCCGCTTGTTCCATCTAAATCAAATCTTGACTGAAGTCATCAACCTCAGTGTGACCGTGGTAAGGAAGCATCTCCTCTAGTATCATGTCCTTTCTCATGGCGTAAGCGTCCTCGCCGTCCTGGTAGTATGACTTTTCGATGGAAGTATTCTCAAACTTCAAAGAGTCTCTGTATAAATGCAAAGCCGCTCTGTTGGACTTTCTCACGTGAAGGGAAACGTACTCGGCCTTAAAGCTCTCGCACATGGCGTACAAAGATTGTTTCATCAATTTTTCGGCCAAACCCATTCTTCTGTAAGTCCTCATGACTGCCAAGGAAGTAATGTGTCCGTGCGGCGTCTTGTCCTCTGCGTCTGGATCGTCCTCCATTTTGCCCAACACGTAACCCACGATTTTCTCTCCTTTCCCGATGTATGCTGTATCCCCCTTTGGGTCTACAATGAGCTCCCGTTTAGCGGAAACAGCTTTCGCCACTTCCGATTCCTCGGCAAGTTCCTCGGCCTCTTCGTCGTCCAACACGTCGTATGTCGTGGCGACGAAACTGGCTTGCGGCCACGACAAGATGTGGTACATGTAGTATTTCAATTGGTAGTTTTCCGGGAGATTCTGCAAGTTTGCATTTTGCATCGCCTGCACATCGTTGATGGTGGCCCTTCGGATCGTGATACCCATTTTCTGTCTGGTGCTGACTGAAGATTTCACGAGGCTTCCCGATATTTCCCGTAATGGACCATGTCGGATCGCACCGGTCGTGCGCAAGATCTAGGTGCGCGAGATCAGCTGGACAAGCAAAGCGAACGAAAGTGCCATTGGAAGACGGCGAGTTTGCAATCGTTTTGTTTTGTTTTCGAAATTTTGGAACACGGTAATCGGTTTCTTTTGGGGTAGAAAAACAGCTGGCATCATTAGTCCACTCTCACCTGTAGGCCACCACATTTGTGTCGATGTGGTTCCTTGACTAAACAGGACACTCGAGGCTGTCAAGGCAATTAAAACGTAGAAATCCTCAAGGGGGCACCTCGTGAATCTCTCTTGTTGTTCCTCCATAGACCACTCTGGGCCTTTGCTTTTCTATGGAGCATGATCAACCGCTAGTTGAAGCGAATCTCTTCCCTGGTGAACAAAGATTCATCAAATTTCACCAAAAATACTGTCCTCAAAGGCGTTTCTTCAGCAGGAGCGGAGTGTGCCACTACAGTGCAGTGAAACCCAGAACTGTCCAAAGCACCCTCGATGATTCCAGCGACAAACGCGGAGCAGTTCAAATCGCCATATTCCTTGGGAATGCTAATGAATTTTGAAACGGGTGGCATATTGTCGATTATCATGTACTCGTCGTGCACGTCCTGGGACTTCTCCAACTCGTTCGCCGGTTTTCCGAAAACAGCCTTCCAAAACGGGCCGTGGATGAACTGGAGAATTTCAATGATTCGGATTTCTCTCTTGCTGTATTTGATGCCCTCGCGCAGCTTAATGAGTTCAAGGTAGCGCTGCCCGATCTGGTAACCCAAGCCATTGAGCCTGCTTTCGAGGTCCAGAACGTCCTTGGATTTGCCATGTGCCCAGCTGACGATCTCGCAAAATAAGAAGCCGAGCGTCAGAAGACTGATTTCACTAATTTTCTTATTGTTGACGTTGCGGTCGTAGATGGACTGATGCAGCGTGGGCGTCAAGTTCACCACACGCTTGTTGAGCAAGATCGAGCTTGTTTCTGCGGTGATGGCATTGGAGTTGGGCCCAATGGAGGGATTATACCCAAACCCTGTTTTCGACACATCATGGATTGTGAGTGCACCGATCGACTCCACAGACGGTAATATTGGTTTATCTATCATCGCTGTCTCTGATTTTGTGGCAGAATCGCAGTCTGATGTAGTTTCGTTCACCGTAGTCTGAATAGTAGATCGCCGATATTCATTCACACTGCCAGGGCGCAGCGCGGGGGCGCGGCCCTAATCTTTGGGCCGAAGATTTAACCTTGACCGCTGAAGGCGAAAAAAGAACAAGAATTCCAGTGAGCCTTTTCCTTCTGAACACGTTTTATCTCAAAGCACAAGTCAACCATGAATGAGGTTTATGATTGTGTACTGTTGTTGTACGCTCACCAAATTGTCGTTTGGCCTTGTGCTAGGTATGCTTCATGGCTTCAGCCAATTTCAATGTCGCGCGCCAGTGATTCCAGGCCATACATAGAATACAAGCGAAAACATACTTTGAGCTCACTCTCAAGGCTAAAAGTTTGAAAACCACTCGAAATCAATGATTAAGGATAAATCAGGACCCCGAGTAGCTGGGCAACTAACTGGTATGTAAGAACATCTGCGACTGACAAAGCATACTCTGCTTTTGTCCAAGATTCTTCGAGCCCTTCTAATATCACACCAGCGACCTACGGAAAACCAGCGTTGCACAAAAAACGGAAATATCGGCTTGCATTTGCTAAAGCTGAAAAGGTTTTAATGGGCACTGTTCCAAAAAAGCAGCCGCTTAGTATCCTGGACAAATTGGGCCAGATATTTGGCTGCACAGTCCGCGGAGACTTGAGCTCAATTTTGACTGCGAATACAGAACAAACGCTGGTGTCCAAAGAAGACGACAGGGATGTTAATGTATCAGCGAAGCCTGGAAATCAGCCAGAGAACACCACCACTTCTGATAGAATTTCCCTAAAAGATGAATTGAGGCTGGATGGCTCGCCTATTTTGGAGCCAGAGAAATATGTCGAATTCTCATCTCTTCATATGGGATCGCTCGCCGAGACCTCCACACCGATCAAAAAAACAGCACTGACCCTTCGCACCGGTGATGGGCCTAAAAAAAGACCGATTGATGTTACTGCTTTGAACTTGGATTCAGAAACTCACAGAAAATCTAGTCTGGAGACCCCGCCGTTGGGCATTAAAGAATATAAGAGCGGGTCCCCACGAGTGGCTGCAAAAAAAGCTGAAAAACAACATGAGCCTTTGGAGACACCCGTTGGAGTGGATACAATTTTTCAAGAGGTTTTGGAAATGCTAATAAAAGGAATCTCAGAATTGACTGGGGCTGGTGTTGGGATTCTTATATCAGTCAACAAAGCTTCTGGTGAAGATCACCTGCTGTCCAGATCAGCTAGAGTTAACAAAAAGAAGAGGCGAAAACCGGCCCGGGCATCGGATGACTGCATCAAAAAATATGGGAAAGCACACAAGAAAAGAAGACACAAGAGACGAAAATACAAGGTCAGCGAGAAAAACGAAGCCAAAAATGAATGCGCCAGCGCTCATGATGAATTTAGCTGTCTTGAAGCTGGGACTCCCCGTGCCATCAACGATTGCGAAAAACAAGCGGAGGCCACGAAGAAAAGCAACAATGAACCCCACCTTATTACGCCATTACAAGCGCAAGAATCCAAGAAAGAATCAGGGGCTGATGATATATCAAGCATTAATTTGACGGTGGGTCTTGGAGCCAATCAAAGCATGGAAATCACCGGTGATAAAATCATGATGCAACCTGCTTTGGTTCCTGCGTATAATACGCCTGATGGAGAACATCCGGGGACACCATTGGAGGGCGACGAGCGGGGCCCCAGCTTATCTCCCTGTCAAGAGATCTCAAAACAATCCGAGAATTCCCAGGTAAAGCTATTCTGCCAGCAAAAATATCGAAAAATGCTTGCGCAGTGTGCCTCGGGGCCGGATCCCATAGACCTCTTGCGCAAGAATAAGAACCGCGGATCACTCACGTGATGACGATCACTGCGCCGATAGGCCACCACTTCGCGGCGTAATTTGGGTCTGCTCCATTGCATTCTTTCAACAATAAAATGGTAGAATTCACTCCGTCCAGCACCAAGCCTCCTGATCTTACCAGTATGGATAAGAAAGGGGAGCCGGAGTCCCCTCACAACCCGCCGCAAGGACCGGTGCCCATGGTCGAGAAAGATGATCTAATCAAGAAACTCGAGAATGTTCCAGAGGAAGTACTCCGGAGCATTTTGACCAACCAAGTCGATCTCGAAATCCGGCTCAAGCACAAAGAGCTCAAATTGACAGAAGAAGAGATTGGAAAATGTGAGGCCCAAATGCTTGCTTTGAGGAAGTTCTTTGAAGTTCCCAACGAGGTGTCATTTCGCAGTGAACCAAATGACTTCACGCTCAAATACTTCGATATCCTCAATAAGTCTCTTTCTGTCAATTACACGAAGCTACAGCAAAAGCAGTATGCCTTGGAGAATCCCGTATTTAACGAGGCTATGTTCACAGAAAGCGAACCGACTACACATACATACAGAACCAGGTCCACCACCTCTTCTCTACGACCATCTATAGGTGGGCCTGCTGTGAGGATAGCTGGATGTCTCTACAGAAGAACGGACGGAGTGGTGGTAAAACTAACTTGCACCGGCTGTCAACGAAGCAACTTTTCGTCCGCGCAAGGGTTTCTCAATCATAACAGAATAGCGCATTCTAGAGAGTACGCATCCCAGGACTCTGCAGCCTTGGAGTGTGGTGAGGTTTTGCCCGACGAATTTCAGGATGAAGAAGGACTCGCGAGCTTGGTCAGCTTGCGGCAGCTGGATGTCAATCCGGCAAAGAATCTCAAAACAAGAGAGGGATATTTCGATGGCTTAAACACGCCTACAAATAAGACCGGAGCTCTGTCATACAGCAACTCGTATCCTGAACACAGCAGCAAACCGGCGACGAGAAAATCGACTCCAGAATCAAGCAAAGAACCAAAAGCCCAAGCCAAAGTAGCCAAAGATGTGTTGAGAGATTCACTCATGGAGGGGGTGGGCACTCAAGAGTTGATGAAAAAACTCATAAGCAGCGGGCTTGCGCGTGATGCTAAAGACTTCCAATCTTTGATCGGCGAAGTTCAAAAAGAGGTCTCGAACTCGCACTTGTTCGCCGATGAGGAGGAGGTGGTGGAAGAAGTCGAGGGACAAGATAAAAGAGAAGAGAAAAACAGCTTGCAGGAAACAAACGGGCCAGAGAAGCCAAAACGTGGGGCCAGCGAAACTCAGCGGCCAAAGATTCAGAAGAACAATGACCCTCTCTTGCAGGCAGGAGATTCTACGGTCAAGCCTGAAACAACTGATACGAGTGTGCTGGTGCGGGCGGAAATTGGAGGCAAATACGAAAACAGATTGCGCCGCCGCAAATCGCGTGCTGAAATGAGCTTAGCAGGCACTGAGACTGAAGACGAACCCAGAGCCAAGGGAAGCGAGGACCGGAGACATAAACGGAAGAAGTCCCATAGGTAACGGAAATGGAGTCGATGCAGGACATGCATGTAAGGAGATGAAGACTTCTGGCTGGAAGGCAGCCTTCAGAGACCGCAGAAGCGCGACTGGTCTAAAAACACTTGGGCGTGGCGAACAAGCCATGTTTCAAAGTCCGGGAATGAGGGCTTGGCGACTGCGTGAGCATATGCATTCCGACAGGAACTGGGTCAGCAAAGTACAAGATGGCCTGGCGAACCGACACTTGGTAATCTAAGTCCATTAGAACAACCTAGAGGCTCCATGCGTGGAGACTACAACGAAAATGGGTCACAACCCGCTGTAGAGTGTCTGACTTACTTTAGGACATAATGAGGGGGGGGGGACATCTGTGAAAGCGAGAGCAAGAGTTCTATAAATAGAAACAGGCTTGCTGTAGCCATGACGTATTGGCGACAAAACTTGAGTTTTGCTTTTACGAGCCAGACAACCAAGAAGCACCTTCAACCAACGCCACCGTGGTGGCATAATAGGTTCTGAGCCCCGGTGTCTGGTTTCTTATGTGCGCATAGACTTTGCTGCGAAACGGAGTCTTACTCCAGTGCCGATGTGGGCAGCAAAATATGTACGAGGATGTCCCAATTTCATTATGGAAGAATTCGGGTTTTGCTTCACGGGGATGATCGATAGATGGCTCCTCAAGCTTGTACTCGAAGCTTCAGCTTTTAGTCTGTGCCATGGTACTGACTAGACCTTTTGATAAATGCATCTAAGTACAGAGGATGATATCGGGTGATAGTAATGTAAAATCAGGTTATATTTTCCGAGGTGGACTAAAGCAAGTAGCGTGGGATTGCCTGTGGTTTGTATTGATAGAGACACGTGTATGAGCACTATGAGTTCCATCCAGCTCACATGTATACCAATGCCCTGGTTCGGAGCCTCATTCTGCTTCTACATGGATGGGTATAAAGACATGGAGCCAAAAGTGAACGTCAAGACACCAAATATATGCCTAGATTTCTGGTGTCCGAAAGACCAGTCGAAGTAGCGTCCGTTGCTGGCACATGCCTTCACTCGAGAGGTCTGCAGTCCCCGGCTTATGGCGGTGGTTATAGTGGCCGCGATAATAAGTCTCATGGTATTTGGCACTGCCTATAAGTGCCAGGTCTGGCTGGGCAAGGCCCTGAGAGAAGGTGGGATTTCCGCGTGCGAACTCAATGTTGGATGGGTCCATGTTTATATGTATCGCAGTATTTTTGGGGCGTTTGAACCAATTGAAAACGTGCTGGTAGGGTGCAAGCAGCTGGCTGATGTATAGAGCAGATTGCACCGTGGGCAGCACTGCTGCGAGTGGCTGGGCAGCAAGGCCAGGTTCGCACTACAAAACAATAAAAAACCTTCAGGCCCAAGTATGACGCTTACCTAATAAAACTTGGGCAGCTATAGTATTTATTGCACGTTCTACGTGCACGGCCCTCCAGGCTTTGCAAGGCAGCCTCGAGTGCCAGGCGGCCTCATGGATACATTTTTCCAGTGGGTCGGCTGAAAAGCACGCCCCGAGTCCGTGATCTCTAGGGCCATCTGGCGGCCGCGGCCTGCACTGGGTTCGTGGGCCGCGGGCCAATTTCAGCACGGGCTTACATCGTGGCGACAGACAGTGGAGGGTGTTTCCGGCGGTTTTGCCTGCACGGTGCACTGTTCCACCCCGCCACCATTCCGAACACGTAGGGCGGGCCCCGAAAAAACCTGAGCAGCGCGGGCCCGGGCTTTCAAACACGAAGAAAGATAAACACCAGGCCGGTCTAGACCGCACGGCGACGGCCGTGTGCATAGTGGGACGGCGGGGCCGGGCTCATGATGTCATGGCCGGTGCTGGCGGAACATGCCACGGGGCCCCGTCGGGGGGGAAAGACCCAGGGCCACCCCCGGACCTGCTCGCCCCAGCAAGCGGGATTTTGTCGCCCCGCAAGCCCGAGCCCTCGGCCGCGCAGCGCCCTTTTTTTTTTCGTTGCGCCGCCCAAAGCCTGCGGTGCCGGTTCGCAGTAAATCCTGGGGCTGTGAGCGGAGCTTGTTGCCGGCCTTTCAGACCCATCGCAGCCTTTTGTCGCATTAATAACACACCTGAACACCTCCTCAATAAGCACCTTTTTTTTTTCCAGCAGCTCAACGCCGGTGTCGTGCCAGGCTTTTTACAACCAACCCGCTGCACATTTCTGGGACCGCCTCGTCCTGGCCCCCTGGACTCGAAACCCTAGGACCCGAAGGTGTTGCACTAGAAAGCGGGACCTGCCATAATACCCCGGCCCACCAGAGACTCTCCCTACCGCCAGCGGCAAGCCCCAGCAAAACCCAACAGAGGCAAACAAACAGAAATCAAAACACAAATCAAAACACATCAACACAAACACAACAAAACAAACACATCAACACAAACACAACAAAACAAACACATCAACACAAACACAACAAAACAAACACATCAACACAAACACAACAAAACAAACACATCACGACACAACACAAAAAGCCCGCAGCATGAGCACCAGCCCCTGCTGCGCCGAGTACAAGTTCCCCGCCACGCCGCCCGGCAACGAGCCCTATGCCTACGCCCGGCCCGCGGCAGGCCCCCCCAAGGCGCCGCCGGCCGGCGACTACTTTGCCTTGAAGCCGCCGGCCGCGCCGCACAAAACAACGTTCTTCTCGCCCGTCAAGCCCACGCCCCGCGGCCACGGCTCCGGCTCCGTGAGCTCGCTCGGCTCCGAGGCCACGTTTACCGAGCACCTGGCGTTCGTCAGCCACGACTTCCACAAGCTGACCGACACGCTCTTCGAGGACTGCGAGGACGCGCCCAACGCCGCGGGCCCGCGCAACGTGCTCCTGCTCTCGCTCAACTTGCCCAAGAAGAGCCTCCACCACAAGGCCCGCTCGTCGCTCAGCTCCTCCGCCGGGCTCTTGGCCCGCCATGCGTCGGCACGCGACGCGGACGCGCCCGAGGACCCCGCGGCGCTCTCGGCCGTGGAGCCGCGCTTCCTGCTCGACCGCAAGTACTCGCTCGGCGTGGCCGAGGAGTCGCTCGGCCGTGCCAACCCGCTGCGGCCCTCGTCGCCCGCGCCCGTGCTCCACATGCACCACACGCTCCCGAACCTCTCGCCCAAGAGCACGGGCTCGGTGTTGGACTCCATCAAGACCCAGCAGATCAAGCGCTTGCTGTTCGTGCCGCCGCAGGAGAGCTTCCGCGACGCCATCGTGCGCCTCTCGCCGTCCATCGCGTACCTCTCGCCGGCCGCCATCGCCAGCATCGTGGCCCAGAGCTCCGTGCACCCGCAGACTCGGCTCCGGGACATCTTGGTGCTCGACATCCGCCCGTTGGCCGACCACGTCAAGAGCCACGTCGCGGGCGCCATCAACATCTGCCTCCCGCTGACGCTCTTGAAGCGGCCCAGCTTCGACCTCAAGCGCTGCGTCAACTCCTTGCCGGTCTACGAGCGGCTCATTCTCCAGAGCTACTTCCACCACAACCGCGCCAACTTCGACGCCAACAACGTGGTCTCGCGCCCGCACGCGGGCGCCCACGGCCTCCCCGCCATCGTCCTCTACGACCACTCCAACCACTCCTCCAACATCTACCACATGTGCCGGAAGCTTGTCGACCACTCGTGCTTCGATGCCTCCTCGGCGCCCCCAATCTACCTCATAGACGGCCTGTTTCTGGCCTTGGCCTCCGCGCATCCCGACATCCTTGGCTCGGGCAAGGTGGAGTCCATCGATGTGGCAAGCTTGTCCACCCACACCCCGCTGGACGGCTCCCCACCACTGCAGCCCGCGCCGCGCCCGTCCCGTGCGGCCTCGCCCCGCACCATCAAGGCCCCGAGCCTCAGCTTGGCTGGGCTTCCGACCCCCAACGTCTCCAACTTCTCACTTCCCACCAACTTGCCTGAGACCAAGTTCAAGATCAGACACAACGAGGAGATGTTCAACTTCTCCACCGCACCCTCCACCGACGACAAGTTGTCGAACCTCGCGGTCAACTCCCCGGGCCTAAGACTACTCCCGCAGTGGTTGAGAGACTCCGTGGCTAACAACACACAAATCAGGGCCGACTTCAACAAGCTAGAGGAGTGCGAGAAGTCCCGCTTGAACAGTGCGTTGAAAATCAAAATGGAGAACGAGTTCGTCACGCCGGGCGGCCGCACCGAGCTTACCCCTGTGATCAACAGCGGCTTGGACTACGGCCACAAAAACCGGTACAAAGACATCTTTCTCTACGAGCACACGCGCGTCTCTCTTAACGACGCTCTATCGGCAAAACTTGTGCCTTCTGATGACACATCATTGCAGCTGGGCTGCGACTACATCAACGCTTCATACTTGAAGTCTTCAAAGTCTGTGTTCGGAAGCATCTTGGGAACGGACTCTATAGATGAGCAGCTTCTCAGATACAGCAACTGCATTGCCACCCAGGGCCCATTGTTGCGAACGGCAGGGGACTTCTGGAAATGTGTGGTCAACCAAGGCTCATTGGTCATCGTATCCTTGACCAACGACGTTGAAAATGGCGTGGAGAAATGCTTCGCATTCTGGAAATCCGGCAGATACATGTCAGGCAATAACGCTGTGGACGTCAGCCTTTTGGACACTGAGACGTATGGTGCTTTGAAGCTTCGAACATTTGCGATCGATATCGATAACAAAATCCACCACAAGGTACTACAGTTACATCTAGATTCGTGGATGGATATGGGGGTGGCAGTCGACTCCAATGAGGTTCTAGCAATGATCCATTTGAAAAATCACATCTTGGCTCATGCCCCGAGTCTTCCCGAATACCCTTCGGTCATACATTGCTCTGCTGGGTGTGGGCGTACCGGCGTTTTCGCAGCCGCCGACATGTTGATGAACGCATTCAAATTCAAGGGCGATGATTTTGACGTGATCGCGGACCCCGTGTACGATGTTGTGAACGACTTGAGGCGCCAAAGGATCCTGATGGTGCAGACCATCCGTCAGTATGGGTCCATCTACGGACTCTTGATTCATCGCATCACCGGGCTGAACGAGTGGCAGTCAATCAGCGACACAAGAATCGCAAAAGCATTTCTCGAGGCATGATCCGTGAATCAAGAGGCATTCTGTCGGCAGACATTCAATCCATGCTTTTTGTTGTCCAAGGATGTACTTGTTAATAAATATTCTGGGTATTAGGTTTAATATGAATATGGCACTTTCAGACGGATCGGCCGCTAAAGGGAAAACCATTCCCGTCAAATCGGCATGGAGGCCAAGACCGATTCGCAAGCCGCTGAGCCGGAGGCCCTACGGGTAGCCTACGCTGGGCAGATTTAGTTCGTTTTTCTGATTATATTGATACACAGGACTATAGAAACCTAAGCGTTGGCAGCCAAAGCCTGCTTCAAAGCAGCGGGGTTGGCACCAATGACCTTCTGGACGACCTTGCCCTCCTTGAAAAGAAGGAAAGTGGGCATGGAAGAGATCTCGTACTCTTGGGCAACCTCCTGCAACTCGTCGACGTCGACCTTGATGAACTTAGCGCTCGAGTATTGAGTAGCAAACTTGTCCACCATTGGGGAGATCATCTTGCAAGGACCGCACCAAGTGGCAAAGAAGTCCACGACGACCAAGCCGTCGTGTTTCAAGGCTTCTTTGAATTCGGAGACAGAGGCGACAGCAGCAACCATTGTGTTTGTATGAGTTTTGTATGATGAGAAAGGTGTAGATAGCTGGTTCAGTTTTTCGCAAGGAAGCGGACGGCGCCCCCGTGCGCAGTTTATATACCAGTCCGCGCATCTGGACGTCTGGGCTTACAAATGAGATCTTAGTAATAAGCACAGATGACATTTGCGATGGCATGGCGCAGTCAGCGCAGAAGGTTCTCGACGGCCTCGTGGGCGACACGCGTGATTTCCTCGGCAGACATCCGGGAAAGCCTATCTGAGATCTGGGCTTGCAACTGCCGGTACTGACCAAGCGGCCCCCCAGCCCCAGGGCGCTGTTCCGGGCCGCGCACGCCCCCGGGCCCCGGCCCGTGCGCTATTCTTCGAATCACCTCTGCGGTGCGCGTTGCTAGCTCCAGAACTGCGCGCTCGGTCTTGGTGCCGGTCTGCTCCAAAATATGGGAAAGGCTAATGTAGCTGTCGTGCCACGTGACGCCAAACACCGTGTCGGACGCCTGCACTACCGGCGCATGTGTTTCCTGGCGGCGGAGCTCGGCAATGATGTCGGCGGTTTCCTCCTCGGTCTCGCCGAACTCTCGAGCAATATCCGCAGTCTCTGTAGCCCAGGCCCTGTAGTACGCCAAGCCGGGAATCAACAAGAGCGGCAACCTGAGGTTTGCAGAGTCTATTGCCACGGCGCCGGCCGCATCGACCCGGATGGGGAGCTCGGGACGGACCTGGAGCCATTTCGCTATGGCCGAGTAATCGTTTCCCCCAACGGCCTCTGTCAACGAGGCGTCCAAGTCGGGGATGGGCCAGGCGGCGGTGCACGGGCCCTTTGGCACAAAGCCATATGTCTTGAGGAACGGCTCGACGGCGTTCGCGGGGTCGTAGCAGATGGTGATCTCGGTGCCGGCAGGCACTCTCGCCACAAGGCGGAGGATGACGTCATTGGACTCCGGGTCCACGTCGAACACCGCGTTGTTGGCGTGCGCGTGGTTGGCAAAGTCGAGCACGGGCACCAACGAGATGTTGGTGCAGTAGTCGTAGTCGTCCAGATCGGGTTCAGCCTGCGGAATCTCCAAGACCCGCGACTTGACGGCCTGGTGCAACTGAAAGGCCTGGGCGAGGCTCATGAGCGTGCCGGCCTCGGGGCAGTCGCTGGCGAGCCGGGCAAAGTCCCGCTCCACCAGCCTCTTCTCGGCCCTCAAGTCCCCCTCCACGGCGTCCGCTTCCTCGGCCAGCTCTTCGATGTCGAGAGTAGGAGTGGTGGCGAGCACTTGTAGGTACGCGTCGATCTGCTCGATGCCCGGGACGTTGATCAGGCGCCGTTTCTGCCGAAGCATGAAGAGCCCCCACACAAAGCTGCGGATAATGACGGACTCCGAGGCGGGGCCTCCCGCGTGCAAGGCCGCGTTCAAGATGGCCGCGGCCAGCTGCGTGGCGTCGCCCGCCTTCAACTTCTCCGCGAGCTGGAAGAAGTTGCGGAGGTCGAAAACGCAGCTTCTGGGCACGCGGAGCACGACGGCGTCCTCGTCGGCCGTGGTGCGGGCAAAGATCCCAACGCCGCCCAAGCCACTCGCTCGCACCTCTACGGACAGATGCATCTGGACGCCCCGCAGGCCTGCCCACCCAAGAAAGTCGGCCGTGTGCATGTCGACTGTGTACTATGTGTACTATGTATAATATGTGTACTATGAATATGGGTACTATGTGTACGAACAAGGGTCAAAAACAGGCGCTCTGGGTTTGACCGTGGGCGGGGCCCAGAGGAAGAAGAGTGCTTCGCAGGCCAAAGAGCGCACCCGCAGTGCGGGTCTCGCGGGCCTAATAAAGCTCAATAAGATTGGGGGCAGGACGCCCATGCCGTTATTTCGGGAAAACGCAACTTCACGAGCGCCTAGACGTGCTCTTTTCGAGGGATCGGCGGTATTTTCCGAGCCCGCCAAATTCTGTGTGTGTTTTCACAGACCCGGCTTGGGAGCACCGTTTTGCTGGGGCAGCTGGCGTATACAGTGCCTCGGCGAGTCACCACTGTCTCTGGTTTTCCGCAGGAAATCCGCAGCTCGGACCAAAACGGCAAACCAATAAATCAGTGGCTAAAATCCAGCGTTATGCCAAAACAGCCGCCAGGCGGTCCCCGGATCTGCAGAGCAAGACACACCAGAGGTCAACAGAAACTCTCCAAAAAAATTGGCATGTCCCCTGATCCGGGCCATCGGGGCCAGGGCATCCCAGCACACCGGTGCACCAGGCCTGGCGAGTCGAGACGTGCCGAGACGCTCTGTGTAGAACGAAAAAGAAGTCTCACCAGGACCCGGATCCAACCACTTTTCTGTACCGCTGCAAACTCACCATGTCTTGGGACGACGAAGATTTCGACGTGCCTACCACCACCAAACACGCCGCCGCCTCCTGGGAGGACGAGGCCGAGGACGAGCCCGTAGTGGACTCCTGGGACGTCGATGAGGACGAGGTGGCCCGCCAAAAAAAGGCCGCCGAGGACAAGAAGAAGGCGGAATTGAAGAAGAAGCAGGACGAGGCCAAGGCCAAGAAAAACGCGGCCAAGAGCGGCGCCCAGACGCTCTTGGAAATCGACACCGTGGACGAGGCCACCAGAAGAGAGATGTTGCGCAAGGCCGAGTTGCTGGCGGACTTGAACAACGCTGCCGACTTGTTTGGCGGGCTCGGCGTGGCTGGCGACAGCTTGGAGGACGAGTTGATTGCCCACCCCAGGGAAAAGGCCGGCGTCCCGGCCAAAAAGGCCCCCGCCTTCAACAAAGACACGCCGATCTCCGATCACCCGTTGTTCCAGCCCGCCAACAAGCAGGAGTTCGAGAAGTTGCGCAAGACCGTGGGCGCGGCCTTGACCGGCTTGGCCGAGGACTCCTTGTTGAACTACTCGTCGTCGTTGGCCGTGGACTTGATCAGGGACCTCGTGCAGCCGTTGTCGGTGGAGAACTTGCGCAAGGTGATCTCCACGTTGACGGTGATCCAGCGCGAAAAGGAGAGGCAGGAGAGACAGGCGCGCTTGCTGAAGTCGGGCGGCACTGCCACAGGCGGCGCTGGCAAGAAGAAGGCCAAGCCTGCGGTGAAGACCAACGTGAACAACCCTGGCTTCAAGAAGGACTCGTTCGACGACATGGGCGGAGAATACGACGATTTTGGCGACGACGACTTTATGTAGCGCGGCCGGGCCTGGGCAGGTGTCACTGAGCCCGGGGCCAGGCGGGCTGCACGCCACCCCAATCTAATATAGCAGGAGAAATGTCATGTAGGCTTGCGGGCATGGCGGCGTCGGTGCTTCTGTGGGCTGGCCGAGCTGTAGTTGGAAGCTGGCGCGTTGGACTGGCTGTGGTTGACATTGGAGATATCGGTGGGAAGGGCTTATTGGGGACATTGGTGAGAATGGCCCATAGCCCGCCTTGGGTTGTTGGCTGGTCTGCTGGATATCTACATACGGCCGGTTTCAATCAATCGAGGTTGATCTTGGCCGTTCATCCTCGGTCTGCCCATTCCACTCAGTATGCAATAGCCATTACCGCCCCGTGATCTGCTCGGGTTTCTTCGGTAGCGCTCATGGCTATGGTCATTTTCAGGCACCCCGACCCGTGTTCATCTGGTTTGGATCCATTGAGCTCCGGAATTTGTCCCACGCAGAGTGGCTCCCGCGAGCTTGGGCATTCTGTCATTCGGGGATTGTAGACGCCTCGGAATTCTGTTTATATGTGTGAGCCATTGCTTGGTGGTGCTCACCCATGAAGTCGGTCATGTCTCTGGAATTGGCCATTTCATCCCACCAGACCACTGCCGTCCGTTTGAACTTTATTCGTTTGTGCTGTTCACGAAATGAGTCTTCGTTGGTGTGTTGCTTGAAAGCGTGGCGTTTATTGCTTCCGAGGTCACCGCCATGCAACGACCACGCTTATTCTTCCCTTCTGTGCCTAAAACACGTCAATCCACCTGAAGGTTCATGTGCAGCGGGAGCAAGTTGGTCCCCAAGCCATCGAAATCATCGTCACTGTTCATAACCATTGGGGTAGTATCGAACTATTAGCAACATAAGAATATAGATGTAGTACATTTGCCCCTACGCACGTACTCGTACAATCTCTGGCCATTGTCACATTGGCAGACACCTTTTACTGGGCCGCCACGATCTGAAAGCTCATATCGGAGCCTCAGCACGATCTTGGCCATTGATCTTGGCCATTGATATTGGACCCGTCGTATGGAAGTATGTACCTATAGGGTAATTCATACCAGCTTAGATAGTTATTGTTCTCGGTGCTCATCTGTCTGATGTCTTGTACGTTTATTATTTCCAGTAATGCCAGTTTTTTCATTGATTTTGACTTAGTTGCCTATCCAAACTCTTCCACATACTTTGCATATCATTTCTAGTTTCCACCTGTCGGCTGCCCATCATCTGTGGAAATCATTTATTAACACGACGGCACTAGCAGGAGCAATATGCACATTTGACAGTTTCTACTATTTACGCCATTTGAACCTTGAAGCTGTATCCAGCACTTTTGTCTCGACGAACTTAGTATGTATGTTCCCTTCCCTCTTCCCATCCACCGTCACTACCCACCCCAGTCATATACTAGCACTGGTCTCGAATTCTTGCAATGGTCGCCATTCCATAGTTTAAGCCACGGTGCAAACCACTGCCCATTGTCCGGATGCACGCATGTTTTTTCCATGTGCTTCCTGCCCCATCTCTCCAGCGCCAGTCTGCATCCGTCGGGCCAGTAGCAGGACGAATATTCTCTGCAGAGCCAGTAGATCCACCATTGCAAATTCTTGCTTCCCCTCATGGCACCAGTTCAATTTTGAGGGCAGACCGTCCTCCATATAATTCATCCAATTCTGATTATCTCTATATTAGGTCCATGTCACCACTCGCTAAAAAAAAACACTGTAGTCCCATAATTTCCCCGTTTCTAAATCCAGCCATATACTTATCACTGCCATTCCAACCTTCCAAAATTTTCTCACCCCAAGATCTCGCCATTCTTCCAAAGTTCTATGCCCGTTCCCTTCCACGCATATATCCACCGGCCCAGGGCGCATATATTGGGTCCATGGCTCACAACTCAGAGCAGACATTAGGCCATCCCACCACTCACCAATAAAAAAACTGCACTTGCAGATTCTCCCCATTTTCAAATTCAGCCGTTTTCCCATCACCAGAATCCCAACTTTCAAAATTTGCACAGCATCAAAATCTTTAAATGTTCCCACAGCTCCATCTCCATTTTCTTATACTCATCCACCACCACCCCAGTGCGCACAATATTACCCATAAACATTAGCTCCATCTAACAACCATAGCAGCACCAATAAAGACTGAACCAACAGATCATCGCCATTTTCAATTCTACCCGTTTCCCCATCACCCGAATCCCAACTTCCCAAGTTCACTCACCCCAAAATCTTTCCATCCTTCCATAGCTCCATCCAACCATAGCTCTATCTCCATTTTCTTCTACCAGTCCACCATCTACCGGCCCAAGCACCATATATTACCCATAGATATTAGCTCCATCTCACCGCGATAGCAGCACCAATAAAGACACTGTACTTGCAAATTATTCCTACTTTCAAATCTGCCCGTTTCCCCATCACCAGAATCCCAAATTCCCAAATTCTCACCCCAAATTTCTCCAACCAATCCACCACCCCAGCGCGCACCATATCACCCATAACTATTAGGACCACCTCACCACCATAGCAGCACCAATAAAGACTGCACCAATAGATTGTCCCCATTTTCAAATCCAGCCGATTTCCCATCACCAGCATCCCAAAGTCCAAAATTTTCACACCTTCAAGATCTTTAAATGTTCCATAGCTCCATCTCCCTCCCCTTCTAGTAGTCCACCACCACAGCGCGCACCATATTACCCATAAATATTAGCTCCATCTAACAACCATAGCAGCGCCAATAAAGACACTGCACTTGCAAATTATCCCCCAAATCTACCCGTTTCCCCATCACCGGAATCCCAACTTCCAAGATTCACTCACCCCAAATTTCCCATCCTTCCATAGTTCCATAGCTCCATCTCCCGTCCCTCCTCATCCACCACCCCAGCGCGCACCAGATATCATCACCCAGGGCAGACACTAGAAGGTCACCCAGACCACCCGTCAGGTCCATCCCACCAATGGAGACGCTGCAGTCCCCGAACCTCCCCATTCCCAGCTCCAGCCGTTCGCCCATTTCCGCCATTCCCCACTCAAAAATCGTGCGTGTCCCGAAATCTCTCCGCTTTTCCATAGCTCCGTCGCCCGTCCCTCCGCACCCACCCAGCCGCCGCCCCAGCGCGCACCAAAGAAAAAAAACCTACCCCGTCTTCTTCCTCAACACCCTCCGCCACCTCGCACATACACCCGCCGCCACGCTGCACACCGACCCCAGCGCGCCGCAATGAACTCGTTGAAAGAGGCCTTGGCCCGCGTGTCGCGCGTGGTCAACCCCCCCGGGCCGCGGCGCCGCCCGCCGCCGGTGGTTGTCCCGGCGCCGCCGGCGGCCCCCCGGCACCTCCAGCTCGGCGAACGGCCCACGGTTCCGCGGCCGCAGCTCGCCGCGGCGCGGCCGCACGTCCAGCGCTTCTTGCGCAGGCGGTTCCAGCGCTTCCTCGAGCCGCTCCAGATGCCGCAGCTCCGGATCCACGAGGACAGGCGGGCGCCCTACGACGCGGCGCGTGCGGAGCGGCGGCTCGCGCACAAGAGCAGCGCGGACCGGCTCCAGATGCTCACGTACTTCCTCGGCGAGCGGCCGGCGTTCGAGCGCATGATGCGGTTGTTGGAGGCGCACACGCCGCGCGAGCTCATGGACGGCGCCACCGTGGAGAGCCCGGCCGCGTTGGCCCGGGTGTTGGAGCGCGAGGACCGGGAGTTTCATGCGGCCCGCTACGCGCACGTGCCGCGCTTCCACTTCCGGGAGGTGCCGCCCATGCCGCGGCCGTTGACGCGGGCGGGCTTCCAGGAGTACGTGTACACGTTGACGCACAGCCGCATGCTCTACCGCAACGCGCTGTCGTTGAAGAGCGGGCTCGTGCCGGAGATCCTCCTCTACACGCACCGCGTGGATAACGAGGCGTTCCGCCCGTTCCGGTCCACGGAGACGTACAACTACCTCATCAAGTACTTCGGCTTCGACAAGTTCCAGAGCTCGTTCGCGCGCGAGCTCGTGCTCGTGATGGTGCACGACGGCCATGCGCCCAACACCAACACGCTCAACCAGCTCTTGAGGATCTGCCGTGTGCACAGCCGCCGCCGCTCGCTCGTCAGCACCTACAAGCTCGTGGCCAACTACCTCGGCTTGGCCCGCAAGCTCGGCCTCCGCATCAACCTCGCCACCTGGAACCGCGTCTACGACTGCATCGACAACATCCTCTTGAAGGAGGCCTTTCTCAACAGGATGCTGGCCGTGTGTCTCCCGGTGCTGGACAACATGTGCGTGCGCGTGCTCGCGGACTTCTGCACCACCACGTCGCACACGCAAGAGGTGGTGCGCTTCTTGGAGAACGACCTCCGCCGCCCGGCCTGGCGCGACGCCCCGCGCCTCGCGGAGAAGGTGCTCTTCCACCAGGTCCAGCACACGGCGGCCAACGCAGACCTCGCGCGGGTCTTCGAGGACTTCGGCCGCCACGTGGCCGTCGACGCGTTGACGCTCAAGACCTTGGCCAACGCCATCAACGCCAACGCCAACTTGCTGCACCGGGGCTACCTCGTGCTCTGCATGTACGTGCGCCTCGCGCCGCTCGTGCCGCTCGTCCCGCCCGAGGTCTACAGCCGCGCGGCTCAGCTACTCTGTGAGAACGCCGAGGGCTACGATATCCCGGCCGTCAACTTCTTTGTCCGTGCCATCGTCCACCACGACGCCACGAGGATGCTCGGCTTGCCGGTGGAAACCGTCCAGTACACGAGGTCCAGCGGCAAGGAGTGCAGGGATGTCAAGGTGCCCACGGAGCCCAAAGAGACCCCGGACACGGAGCCCACGGATCCCAAAGAGACCACGGATACGGAGCCCACGGAGCTCAAGGAGACCACGGATACGGAGCCCACGGAGCCCAAGATGGACTTCAAAACCGAGGAGACCAGAGACTCCAAGAAACAGGCTCGCGGACCAAGGCTCAAGAGCCCCGACGCCGTCTTCCCCGAGAACTACAAGATCTTCAAGAGATTGTCCCGCAAGGGCCTCAACGTCCTCGAGGCAAAGGTTATCTACGAACTCCAGGAGCGGCCAAACCCCGGCTCGAGATACCCGTGGGACCTTCTCACCGAAAGCGAGGAGAAGGCGTGGGTGGCCATCACCGAGCAAATCAGAGCCCAGTCCCGCTTCTGGGAAAACACCGCCGCCAAGGCCGCAAGCGTAGGGCTCGTCGTGTCCGATCACCCGCAAGCCCCGCCCGCATGGATCACCGCCTACGAAAAGAAACAGTACAGGCAAATGAGCCTCAGTCACGAGATCAACACCTTACAAAAGCTCGCCATGGGCTTGGACAAGCACACCGAGCATGAGATGAAGAAACGAAACATATACGCTGCTTCCCCGGAACAGACGTCTGTCTAAACCATACATGTACATAGCATCACGAGATCTTCTTGCGTCGGATCTCTCCGCAGCACCTGGGCTTGCTCCACCACGCGATGCCTGATACACGACGCCATATATATTGGCACACATTCCAGCATCAAGCATGACCTACGTAGAATAAGAGGGCGATTGTTGCCGCCAAAATTGCTCCTCCTGAATTTTATGCTGTATCGCGCAATATCTTCCATCCAGCGTGGGTCCGAGCGCGTCACGCGAAGACGTATATAGACATCACAGGATTGAGACACTATAACCTGAAAACAACCTGGAGAAATTACTTGGACTACAGCACCACAAAAAATGAATAGCTATGCCTGCTCTTTCTGGTCGCCTGACTACATTTCTGGAATAGACAGGCTTTCACGCCACCTGCTGCTTTCCCTCGGCCAGCTCCACGAGCTACGCAAGTTTGTCTTCAACTACATGAAATATTTCCACACTAATGGGGAGTATCTTTCCAATCTTGCCGAATCGTCCTACCCAATAGACAGTAGCTTCCGTACGTCACGTGGCCCTAGAGGGGGCCGGGTTGCGAGCGGAATCCGGCAGGCTTCCAGATCTGAAGATCCGCTGATGTACGATATGGACTATGTTTTTCGCCAGTTTGTCGAGAAAACCCGCAATGACCTGCTCCTTCATCAGAGGGTGGCCTCGGAGATTGACCGGCTTGTTTTGGAGAAAATCACGGCGTTTTTGAAGCAGCACGAGCCCCAAATTAAGATACACGTGTCCGATTTGGCCGATCTTTTTGACGAATTCAGGCTGTCTTACGAGGCCGTAGAGACAATCAAACGAGAATACACCACAATTTATCGGCTCGGAGAGTTCCTGCTTAAGCAGCCGGAGGACCAGAATATCTCCGCAAATCTTGAGGCAGAAACAGACACTCCACTGCCCGAACCAGAGGATGAAGATCCCTCATGCGCATCTGGAGACAGCCTTGGAACTGGCTTTCCGTTGGTAATCACAAGTGATTATCTGTTTACAGATACCCAATCGTTCACTGGCTTTGTGGCTGCAGTTGTGAAAGCTGTTCCCATCACCAAAAGGAAAATTCCGCTCCCAGGGCACCGCAACGAGATGTTCTCCAGCGAGCAATTGTGTGGTATCATGACAAGGGAAAAACCTCGCGGATTCAATCCTACGAGATCAAACCTAGAAAAACTTGGCCAGGTTTTGTTGGACATCAAAGTTCTAACGGGTACGGGATTTTTTGCCAAGAAGTTCAGCAGCGAGGGAATGTGGTTTGAATGGTCTGATATGGCCATTGCGATGTCTAGAAAGAACTCAAACAGTACGTTGAAAGAAACGCCGCTGATCACTTCCCCGAAGTTAGAGGACAGGTGGAATTCAATGGCATTTTCCACGACCAAGAAGTTCAACGGGGTGTTCAAAACGATGCAGAATTCTCTCTCGATGGCCAGATTTTCCGAAGAGGACTTAGAGAACTATGAGAAAAAGTACAATGAAGCATATGTGATCTTGCAGAAACAAAAACATCTTCTTGAAATGAGAATCCTGATGGCTTCGCAATATATGGAGAAGTTTGAGAAGTTTAAGATTGAGCTCGTTTACCAAAGCCTTACAAAACTAGTACAGGTTCTCCAAACCACCAATTCCCAATTTGCAACGGACCTTTCCAAGTTTTGCGTGATGTTTGTGAACAAGTTGAACAAGCCTGAAAACTATTCACTAGAGTTCAAGAAGGGGTTGAACACTTTTGGCACTGGCATCTATTTCCCATCTCTTCTTGCGCCTGATCAGCCAAAAAACAGACACGTGAGCACATCACAACTTAACACAAACTTCCAAAACATAAAGCTCAATTTCAACTTGTTTAAAGACATTCCACTACAGGCCAAGATGTACGATATACAGCCAGAATTTCCACTCAGCTTGCATTCGATTCCGATTTTTATGTTCGAGACGATCAAATCTCTAGACAGGTTCCCGCCACAGAAAGTGAGAGATGCATGGTCACTGCCAATCAACTACCAGCAATACTGGCTTATGAAAGATACTTTGATCAGCGAGATTCAAGAGTTTCAAGAAGAAATTTCGGTGGTTCGTTCTGCAGAGTTGACATTGTTGCTGAAAGCTATCAGGTTTCTTGAAGATAAAGACGTATCCCGGCTGGTGAACTTTTTGAAAAATTGGCTTCTCGAGATAAGCGACTCCATTATACCATCCACTGTCCATGAGTCACTCGTTGCGACCTACAAAATCACCAGAGATGGCGACGAAGCAAGCACACAGAGGTTGGCAGAAACCTTGAAGATTTTAAGCGCCATGCCCAGAAGCAACTTGAGTTCTCTTATTCACATCTTGGAACATATAGCAGAAACCTTTGAGCTTGATCTTCTCGAAAGATCCGGAAACTCGGACATTGTCATGGAAGCTGTACCAAGTATCAGCGAATCCACTCTCAACAAGCTTGCTTCTAAGTTGAATTCGTTCGGAGCTATAGGGACCATCCCATTTCTCCATCTCATCATGAGACCATCGGTAGTAAAGAATGCCGGTGGGTATCATCCACCGCTCGAGCAATACAACATGCTTCTTGGAGATTTGCTTGCGTTGAGTACTCGCCGAAAGCTATTTCAAGCGCTTGTGGCAAGTGAAGAGCAGTTCATCAAACGTCAAGAGCAACAAAAGCAAAACCTTGGCATCCCTAAAATTCAGGAGCCAAGAGAGCGATCTACGTCTGTGAACAAACAGCCCATTCCGCAGATTGGAATCGTGGGATCTCCAGGTAAAGCTTCACAGGAAGGAAATGAGCGGGCACTAATAAGTCCCAATGCTTTGAACACCGAGAGTTTTGAGTTGCGGCCGTTCCGCACTGGTGCCACACCCAGGCCTTCGCCATCAGCGTCTCCAGTGACAAAAAAGCCCAGGGATTAAATATGCGATTTTCAGAAGAAGTTGTTTTTCAAGGGCTATCAACGGGAGCTCGAAATATTGAGCCAATCAAGGCTTCTTGCGAATGGTGTCTAGGAAACCCTGGTCGCGAGCCACGTTGCTCATGGTGATTCGCTGAAGCTTGTGAAGCTGCTTAGTACAGAAGAAGAATAGCGTTGCCAAGCCCAAGGAGCCTGCAAGTACAATGAACTCGAAGCCACCATCAGCTTCCTCGATGAAGTTTTCGAGATTCATGCCGTACAATGCGGCGACATACATGGTGATACCCATGGAAAGCAATCCTATAGAGAACTTCAAGCCCAAGAGCATAAGGTCGTTTCTGTTGGCGTCGAGCACAAATTTGATGATCTCCTCGGACGTTTTGATCTGCGAACCGAGCTCCTCCACGGTCTGGATGGTCTCGTTTATCGTAGCATAGTATGATTCCAAGAGCAACTCGATTTCCTGATGATGGTAGGCTTGCCTGTGGGTGCCCTGCAGGATTTCCGTCAAGTAAAGCGAGTTGAGCTCGTCGTCCTGGTCCAACAAGTCGTGGAGAAGGTCGTTGATGAGCTTGGCCTTCTGGTGGAACTGGCCTAGTTTTTTCAGCTGGATGAGCAAGTAGCGCAACTTGACTCGCTCAATAGAGTTGTCGAGACTGGCCAAAATGTTGTTCAACACGGTTTTGTGCACGTTGAGTTCGATGGTGAGGTTCGATGCCACGTCCACCAAAATGGCCTCCAAGGCCCTGAACTCGTAGGGCAAAGAAGCCGCGTCGGGATGTGAGACCTTGAGGCGCTTGGACATCTCCTTTAGGAACGTGCCCTGCGAGTAAGACTCCGTGAAACGCGAGCTATGGGCATAGTCGAAGATGACTAGGGAATCGCACATGATGAGGGCCCGGATGTTGAGCAAGTTCAAGAGCACACAGTTTTTTCTGGTCACTATCAGCGGCACGAACTCCATGTGGAAGCCATTGTTGCCCGGCGTGTGGTTGGTGTGTGAACGAATCATTTTGCGAAGGTCCCGGGGGGCTATGCCGTATTTTCTCATGAACTCCAGCTTCCGCATGGTCAACCCATGGATGGTGATATTGCCATTGCGGTCATAAACCGTGCACCTCACATACTCGCTCTCAGGCTGGGACTTGTTCGAGCGGAGCGTGTTGGCAATGAAAATCTCGTTCAAGTTGTCCTGGTTCCGACGACAGGTGTTGGAAAACGAGCGAGATAGCATAGGTTTTCCAAGAGCCAGCGAGAACCCACAGAAGCGGAGGGGCCGAGTGCCAAATGCAGACATCTGCGCTAGCAGACAGAGGCGCAGGCTGTGCAGGGTTACAAGACGCCTGCTGAACATCAGAGCAGCTTCGAAAGGCTATGAAAGATGCGTGCTTTGTATGTTTTAAAGTGAGAGGTAGAAGGCGAGAGACGGCCCTAGCCATGTACAGATCAATGCACGGTGCGACTCGGGCCTACGTGCTGGGCCCTAGGGCCGGCTTATTACAGAGCTTACTGGGGCCCGAATATATTGGAAACTTAGGGCATAGAGTGGAAAAAAAGGGGCAGAATTCGAGAGGAGCGCTTTTATTACCCGAAAAGCCGGCACTTATCCGAGAAAGGCTGCAAAACACGCTTTTCGGCATATCCTCCCATTGGCCCCCAGCAGCTCGCCTGGCTTCCGGGCCTCGCGTCTCCTCCACATTTCGCACTGGTGGCCCAGTAATTCAAAAACGCGTATTCTTTGACCCCACCGAATATCCACAGCATGTCCCGAATCTTCAGCTCGGACCAGCTCGACGTGTGCGAGGAAGTCGGCCGAGGCGGCTTTGGCGTCGTTTTCCGAGGAATCGTCAAAGCCACGGGCCAGGAGGTGGCCATCAAGCAAATCGACTTGGAGCATGAGCTGGCTGACTTCTTCGAGGTGAACCGTGAGATCCAGATTCTCTCGGAGTGCCGGTCACCGCAGATCACACAGTACCTCGGCTGCTTTGTGAAAGGGTACAAGCTCTGGGTCATCATGGAGTTTGTGGACGGAGGCTCGCTCTTCGAGCTTTTGATGCCAGGTCCCGTGACTGACGAAAAGACCATTCTGATTATCGCAGGCGAGATTCTTTTGGCGCTTCTGTACCTCCACGAACTGGGAAAAATCCACCGAGACTTGAAGTCGCAAAACATCTTGTTCAATCAGAACGGCGAGGTCAAACTAGCGGACTTCGGGGTGTCCACGCAGTTGTATTCGAATTTTTCTAGGCGAAACACCACCGTGGGTACCCCGTACTGGATGGCGCCGGAAGTGATCATGAATAACACGGGTGGCCATAGTTTCAAGGCGGATATCTGGTCGCTCGGATGCTGTATTTTCGAGCTCCGGAGCGGCAAGCCGCCGCTCCAGGACCACTACACCCCAATGCAAGCGCTCCGCAAGATCTCGTCGTGCAAGAAAAACGCTGATTTTGTAAACTTCATTGACATGGCCGCAAAAGACGACTGGTCCGACACACTCAAAGATTTTCTTGCCAGCTGTTTCAGCGTAGACCCCCGCAACAGGCCGTCTGCCCTGAGGCTCTTGCAACACGACTTCATTTTGGGCAAACACGACTTGGGGCCAGAAGCGTGCAAGCGGAGACTCAAAAAGCTCATCACCAGAAAACGGCTCTGGGACCAGCAGAACCACGTGGTGAAGTCCCACAGGATCTACGCCCCCACAGAGATTTCCCAGAACCAGAACAAGTGGAAACATGGCGGTAGCCCCCAAAAAGAGACTAAGTCCATACGCTTCGACTTCAGCACCATCAAAGATGCACCCGAGCTCCCGAGCGAAACAGATAGCGAACACAAGAAAATATCAGTGTCCCCTTCGCGAAGCGACAGCAGCGGAGGGGCCAGACAAGACGCATCCAAGAACAACAAGGCCATGAAGGCTGATTTTCGCAAGGTGCTCAACAGAGTCTTCACCAAGCTCGAGCTGCGGACGGCGTTGTCGACCAGCCAGTATGACCAGATCGTGACGCTCAATGACAAGCTCCTTGACATGTTCACACCTGTTAGTTCTGCCGATCCATCTGGCTCTCAGAGCAAAATCTTGGTGTGCCAGTACCTCAAGTATTTGTTGAAGGAGGTGTCCAAACAAGCGCCCGCAAACAAGCTGCAGTTGCAAAAGGCAATTGTTCCTTCACAGTACCTCCAGCAAGCCTCCAGCACCATTGAGCCAGTAAAAAAACAGGCTCCTACATCAATGGATGAAATCGAAAGGAGTCTTTTAGGCTCGTGGCTAGACAAGCTTGAGAAATAGAGGGCACTTGTGCAACAGGAACGAGCGTAAACAGGCCCATATCAGCTACAAAAAGACAAGAATGAAACAAACAAATAAAAAAAGATACAAAAAAAGCATGCTCCGACCCAGACTGGGCTCGGATGCCATTGCTTCTTCGCATCATACAAATGAGGACCATGGGTTGAAATGAGCCTCGAATCTTAGTCATGTCTCGCATCCTAAACGTTGGCGCAACAGGAAGCATCCAAAAGGAAAAACCATGAACAAAAACCATACCTGGAAGGTTCCAGCGGTAGATTCAGACTTCGGATACACGTTATCTTGGGGCCCCAGTCAATGCTGTGCCTTTATTCGAGTGCATATTGGCCTGATTTCCTATTTGGGACTGCAGATGCGGCCTTACAAGACGGTTGATGAGGCTCTATCGAGTACCAGATATACTTCTGAATTGAACACCAATCACAATGGGCGAGCCTGCGGAAAAGAAAAGCAAACTTATCTCAACGGAACAGGAAACAGGTGCCGCTGAACAATTTTCTCTTGATCAGTTGTACGTTCAAAAGTACTCCCTTGCTGTTTGTACGGAGGAACTGATCAATGCGGTGAAAATCTCGAAAGATAGACGCATATTGGCCACGTGCTCCTCCAAAGGCGTCATTAGAGCATACAATTTTGAGGATGGATCGCTTTTGGCCACTCTCAGAGGACATACCAAGGGTGTTTCGGATATTGCCTTTTCACCCATCAACAGTGACATTGTTGCGTCGGGGTCTGATGACTTGACCATCCGCCTCTGGTCTCTATCACAGCGCAAGTGTATTCGAATTTTAAAGAAGCACACTTACCACATCACGACGTTGACCTTCAACTCAAAAGGCAGTATGCTTATCAGTGGAGCGGCCGACGAGACAATCGTCGTGTGGGACCTTACTACTGGGAACAGTCTCAAGACGCTAGCAGCACACTCGGATCCTGTGAGCTCGGTGTGTTTGACTCCAGATGACACAATAATTGTTAGTTCGTCCTACGACGGGTTGATGAGGCTTTTCGACACCGAGACCGGTCAGTGTTTGAAGACACTTATTTACAATAGTACGTCTCACGGTACCGCTACAGCATCCACGAGCGACGTGGTAAACTTTCCAATCTCCAAAGTCACAATCTCGCCCAACGGGAAATACATCTTAAGCTCGAGCTTGGATGGGAAGATCCGATTGTGGGACTATATGAACAATAAGGTCGTGAAGACGTACTTGGGAGTTGGCGGAACTGCTATCAACAACAAGTACAACAGCGGCTCTGCATTCGTGCAGAAATCTTCAGTCCCAATCGTCGTCTCAGGCTCAGATTGCTGTGGCACTTTGTTCTGGGACTTGCAGTCGAAAGCTATTGTATACCAGCTACAGCCGGGACAAACAATATTGGACGTGATGACTATTGACGGAGGTGCCTTCCTTGCTACATGCAGCCTCTCAGGCGCAGTTGAAGTTTTTGAGCTCAATCAAAAATACGCTGCTTCAACCATGAAGGATTGTTCAATGGATGATCAAAGAAGCGGAGCTGGGAACGACAGTCGACAAAGCCCAAATGAGAGCGTTAAAAATGAAAGTGCTTCCGGTACGCCTGCCGAAACACCTGCCGAAACACCTGCCGAAATAACCGTCGAAACACCCGTCGAAACACACGCCAAAACACACGGCGAAACACCCGCCGAAGCACCTACTGAATTACCTGCTGATATACACACAAATGGCTGTGGCGAGCCAAGAGAACATAAACCCGCTGAAAACTAACACATGCTTTTTACAATAGATACCTGCCTCACAAGTGAAGATCGCATTGAACTTGACGTACTGGCTGTATTTTGAAAGGCTTTCCGCGACTTTGGAGAATGAGCTGGTATTGGAAGGTGTCTGGCGTGGTGGGGGGACGAATGCAGTGATATGCCCACGCACACACCCGTGCACCACGACAACACTATCGTCTCCGCCTCTTTCGGGCACGGGCTCCAGCTCACGGCAAGAAACCTACTTCATTATACCTCGTCATGGAACAGCCCAGAAGCTTATTTCGATTGAATGCGGCGCTGCTCCGCCTTCCAAAATCTCAAAAATTAAGATCCATTGGCATCTACGTAGCTGGTGCTCTTTTTGCCATCGGGTTATGGTCCATGGTAGACGCCGCTATCTATTCCAAAACTGTGAATGCAAGTGTTGTCCACGTTACATTTGTTGACTGGATCCCTTTCATATGCTCCATGCTTGGAATGCTCATTGTCAATTCTATCGAAAAATCGAATTTGTTCTCCGAAGGCCAGAACCTGTTTTTGGGCGACGGGAGCGGCAACGCCTGGGCAGCCAGGGTGATTCTCTTTTTCGGGTTTTCGCTTTTGGCTGGTGGTTTGGCAGGGTCATTTATGGTGTTCATCTTGAAGTTCTTGATGAAACAATACACATTCCCCACGTTGGGCATGGGTGTGTCGAACATCATCTGTAACGGCTCAATTATGTTGAGTTGTATTATTTTGTGGTTATCGCAGAATATAGAAGACGAGTACAGTTATAGCTTGGCATTGAATTAAGTGATACGGCACATGTTCGACTACGGCTGGTCCAATCGGGGCTTTGCGCCTGAATCCCCCTTGAACAATAGGCACTTGAAGCAAGATACTACCCAGTGAAGTGAACAGAAGTAGCGGGTTTTGTGAGAATGCAATAAACACGTGAATACCTTTAGATTTAATCTATAAATAGCGTGATATTCCTATAGAAATGAATACTTCTCAATAGATAAAGTGCTAAGCCAGACCGCTTTATACTTCACTTTCTCCTGAAATACTTTATGCCATATCCCAAATCAAAACTCCTCGTTCGTGCGCTGCAAAGGCCGCAAAAACTCGTCACGCAAAGGACCCATGAGATTTAGCTCGTATTCGCTTAAATCGTATAATTTCAATTTGATGGGTTCCGCAGCGCCCCTTGGGTATACTTTGAACGACTCCTGTTTGAGCTCATCGAAGAACGGATGGAGCATGATAGACTTGGCGCTGGCCCTGGCTTCCGGGTCATATACCAATACCTTAAGCAACAAATCAATCACGTCAGGCGGCGAGTTGGAGAAGATGCGCTCAAACCGTTCCTGGATTGTGCCTGTGAAGAGCTTTGTGGAGAACATGTTGCCTCTGTACTGCGGGTTGCTATTGAAAAAGAAGGTTTTTGGCGGTGGCCCCAACAATTTCGAAACTTCCTTCAACTGCAACTCAGATGACACGCCTTGGAAGATGGGCTTTCCCAAAAACATCTCGGCAATGACACAGCCGAGCCCCCAGATGTCAATCTTCGTGGTGTACACGGTGCACCCAACGATAAGCTCGGGCGCACGGTAAAAGCGCGAGCAGATATAGCTGACGGACGGCTGGTTGGGCTCCAACTGCTTGGCGCTACCAAAGTCGCAGATCTTCAAGCGTACAGTGGACGGGTCAATCAAAATATTGGAGGGCTTGATGTCGCGGTGGGAGATGTTCATGCCGTGCAAGTAGAGCATGGCACGTGCTAGCTGGAACGTGTACGCCTTCATATGAGGGTACGGAATGGTGTATTTCAGATGGCGGTAGTACTTGATTTCGCTCTGCAAGTTCAGCGGCAAGCACTCCATGACCAAGTTCTGATACATTTTGCCGTCGGTTCGGCTCCGCTTATCGAAGAAATACTTCAAGCACACCACGTTGGGGTGGTTGACGGCTCTCAAGATCTCCAACTCACGGCATTTGTACTCGGTTTGCGCCAAAACGCGTTTGATCGCAAAAGGCCCCAAGCGGGCGGGGCGAGGCTGCCCGTTTTCGTCAAGGTGTGCAAGCAGGGCCTCGACCACCGTGCCAAAGGCACCTTTGCCGATTTCCTTGTACTCCTTAACAAACATGGGCAGGCTTTGCGACGTCTCGTTGTCGACAACTTCGTCAAGCACATACTCCTGGGTATCCATGTGGTCCGCCATTCCAAAACCGGTATTTGTGCTCGAATTACGGGTGGGGCTAGTCAGGTTTGACGGCCAACTGGTTCTTGTGGTGGGCGGCTACGGCGGTTGCGGCAGAAAAAAACAAGCGGGGGGTAAGCAGGGGAATTAGGGGCAACGAATCCAGCTGCGGCAGGGCGAGGGTAAAGAAGACGTGTTAGGTTTGCAGCGCTTAAATCAGAGCTCCAATTGGGGAATTCCGTGGCGTTTTCCGGATGGGGTGTCTTTTTGGAAAGTGCCACCAAACTGGAACCTGGCACAATTGGTACCGATAGTCGCGGTAGGTGCGGACAATGGGCTCACGTGCCGCAATTAGCAAGAATAATAGCGCCATGCGAGACACGTCTGTAAGGGCAGGACAACAAGAGACCACGAAAAAAGACAAAGAGAAGGACAGAAAACAAAACAAACAAAAGGCGCAGAAAAGGACGGAATAGGGCCAAAACCATGGGTAGAGTCAGCGACAGAGTCTATGACAAGTGCATTTTTCTATTTTGCTTGTTGGTTTCGTGGAACGTCAAGCTCCTGAGTTTATTGGGTTTAGTCATCCTTCCGCGTGATAGCAGTACTTTTTTTTCTCCTGACTTATTGGCGCTAACAAGGCGAGCGTTACGTGGCAATGGGATTTCTGAGGCTTGTAGGGTGAGGCTCTTTTGGTAAGCCAGCCCGCGAGGACGAATATCGAACCATGCAAAACGCCAATAAACAAAGTCAAAAAGTGAGAACAAGTATATAACGAGCAGAGTCAATGGGCAGCGCCAGTAGTAGACATACGACCCCAGAAAATATAGCCAGCCAGAAACTGCAACCGATCCCAGCATCCCGGAACCGGACTCCAGTTGCGGTTAGGTGCGGCGTGTCTATGCCGTAGCGGATTGATTGGTCTGCGCCGTGCCAGGCATTCTGTCGCACCGCTAATAGTGAGAAATTGGCCCATCTGACCCAGCCATGCACTTGGACCTACAAGCAACAAAAGAACGGGGAGTCCATTACGATGCGTGGTACCAAATACCAAGGTGGACTGAATCCGATGCGCCATAAGCATTTGGAATGAATATTTCAGAATGTCGGCTTGTATTTGAGGGCATGTTTGCATTTAGAGGATGCCACCGAATATGGCGCATGGCGGCTCCAGGAGAATATAATACTCAAGCCCATTTCATGCAAATAAATGGAGCACAATATCCTGCATTTCACAAGCTATTGGTGGTATGAGCACCTAGAGCTAAGGGTAGGTCGAAATAAAGATTTTTCATCTGGCCTAGATCGAGGTACTTGTCTGTTCTTTTATCGTTGAGAAAGAAACGCCCAAATGTATAGCTTTGTATGTCTTCCATAACAGGCCTCGTTCTTTTTATCTTGGGGTGTGGACTCACTATATCAAGAGAGATTTGTGTATTGCCTCTTATTACTTGATCTCTAAGAGATCCATTAGTTATTCCCGTGCGAACTTGAATATTTCACCTTCACACAGCCATTTAATCAATCTCCACTAAATGCTACTTTAACCGAATCAGTTATTCTAAAACTCACATTTCTCAAAGGCCTATACGAGCTTGGTTTTGTGCCCTGGAAGTACCTATTGTTTTGCGCTTTAAACGTATTTATTAAGGTGACTTCACGAATATTGCGGTCCATGAGACCACTTTTTGGATGCCGTAAAACATTGCGACAGGGTCCTAATACTATTACCCCCTCTATGAGCTGCTTTGAAATTGCAAACAGTCAGAGCGGTATTCTCAGAGCATGTCTGATTCGTACTTGCATCGTATGGGTTGACCGTGACTTTCTGGAAAGACAAATGTGAAATACTGAGACACGTCTTGCGACCGGGCTTAATGGCCGAAGTGAAACTGTACTGCAGGAAAAACTGAATGTGAGTTAAGTGGCTGCATGTTACTTTCTACCGGAGCCCGTGAGACAAGAATAAAGATGCTAGACTTGCGGTGGGTGCGAAATTAGTACATGCGAATCGTAGCCCTGCTATACTCTGGAAAGGTGGGTCGGTCTCCATAAATGAGGTAGAATACTGGAAAGCTCTGAAGGGTTAGTGCTTAATTAGAGAAGAAATGGACAAAAAGAAATACAGTGGAAGATACTGAACGATCGGAATCAAACAGTCGCAACAGCCCATAGACTTCTGTCTTTCTCAAACACACCGATTGTCTTGAGGCCGAACATGTCTCTTTTTTGCCAGACCAGAACATACTCCAGGTAAAAATGAATGGACACATGGACACTAAAAAGATCGGAATGTGTATTCTCGTTGCAATTACCTAGTCTGATCGCATATGTATCGCGAGCCGTTTTTTAATCGAGGGCCGCATAGACACCACCGCATTCCCGAAGACATCCAATCGATTCAAGAATTAGAGCCAGATATCTGCACACCGAAAACAAATACCCAAAACACCCAAGCACTTCCAGTTTGTAAAGTGCCATACCTCCAAACTCCCACGAACACCCAGGCCAACCCAGCCAGCCCACATCACACCCGTGCACCAGCCCAATATCCATGAGCGAGAAACAAAAAATTCTAGCCGGCCTAGCACAGTGTCAGTATCGACATGTTTTCTGGACTTAACACGCTTCGCAAGCAAGCGATTTCACTCAATACCTCGTCTCTAGCCTCAAGATGGTTCAGCACATCTATGACTAACTTCGTGGCGGTGCAGGCCCCTATAGAATCGCAGGAAACGTCCGTTGAGGCCGCCAGAAAGAATGAACGGGTGGTGATGTGGAAATTGTATGGGTCTTTCCACAGGCACAACACGTTGTGTTCTTTCGTGGCAGTGGTGGAGGATTTGAACTTTCTCAAGAAAAACAAGAACTTGTCTTACAACGAAAAGGTGTTGTACTACATGAGGTTGCCCCACCACATCAAACTCCATTTCAGTGCGGGCATGTTGGGATTCAGAAAGAGCAATAGGGCCGAGTACGAGGCTGCGTATCAGGTCAGCACGCGTTTGTTCAAGGCCATTGAGGAAAAGAACCTTCTTGCGCCAAGCGACAAGATTGAAATTGTGTTGAAAGACTTCGGCAAGGGCAGAGAGGCGTTTTCGTCTGCTTTGCAGGGTAAGGAGGGTGCCTTCATCCGGCCACACGTCGTTAGGGTGACGGACAACACCAAGTTAAAGTTCGGTGGTGCCCGGCCCAAGAAGGTGCGTCGTTTGTAGAGCGCCATCGTGTACATAGCGTATTATCTATAGATTGGAGGACATAGTGTAGGCTTGCTCGGATGGCATTTGGGTCCTCTCTGTTATGACGGCCGGTTGGATTTCAGTCGCAGGCTACAAGTGAGATTATGCAGAATACAAATGGGATACAGGTGTGCCATGGTAGCTACTGTGGTGACTGTAGTGTCCCGGATGACTGTGGACATGAATGCAGCTGGCGCAGCTGATTGCAATTGTGCCTCGTAAATATGGCGATTAAGCCTTGAAATACAAATTCGAAGACATGCGCGGAGAACATAGAGTCGTGGGGATTTCGAGACTCAGTAATTTCCTGCAATACATGAGAGATACCTGCAAACGGCACAGGCAGTTCCGTGCAGAACTAGAACACATGGCTTGAGAACAAAAGAAACAAACCCCATACTAGACGCCACAATAAGCCAATCTCTGGAGATCACTCGAATTTGGGATTCTCAAGCTATCAGCTGATGGCCTATATGAGAGCTCAAGAATGGTCACTGTCCCATGGGAAGCATTGACACCGGAAATATCAGACTGATACAAAATCGGCTCCTCACATATAGAATCACAGCCCAGCACGCTGAGCCTCAAGATTTCCGGCTACTGTGTGTATATGTCCCTGAAAAGCCATTTCCAATGATCCAGTGTTGGAGAGCTACGGTTAATTGAGCAAGCCCAGGCGAGCACTCGAAGATAAGGGCCCGACAGCGCCTGCAGGACGCCGCCGCACAGAGAGCGAAATTTGCAAGTCACTCTCGTCACGTGCGCGCAGCGAGGAGTCGCAGGCAGATGCCCTCACGAAAACGGCCTATGTGCACTACGCAGCACCAGGCCCGCCGCGGACGGGCTCTGCGCCTGGGCGAGGGTAGAATTTTTTCCACCCTCTCATGTCCACCTTTTCAACTCCTGTTAGACAAAGATTAAAGATGGCTCCAAGTATGTAAACACCACCAACATTGCGATTAGCCGCTCTTCTATATAGTGAGCTGCTTTCCGGACTAGTGGTCTCGACAAGTCTGGGGTTCTGACCGTCATCTGTTCATTTTGCGATGTGGTTTCGCTGATTTTCTTCCTCGGACCAAAATGCACCCTATGCTTCTTCAATATCTGCTCTTCACCGCCAAGAGATATGAGCCAACCGAAATCTGCCTAAACAAAAGAAAAACAAACGAAAAAGGAAAGAGTTTTTTGGGAGAACCTTTCTTTGTATGCTTTTTTTCTTAGTCAGCGGAGATGTCCTTGTGCTCGCCCTAAGAGTGGTGTCGTATACTATATATTGGTGAGCACGGTGAATATCATATTTCCACACCACCCAAAATGCTGATCACTACAAGCACGCTAATCGCAACCAGTACCGCAAAATAATGCGCATCCCGATCTTCCGTACTAACATTATTCAGACACTCAGGCTGCTGCTGCTAAGAAATCTGCCTTGAAGGGTACCAACTCCAAGAAGGCGGTCAAGGTGAGAACCAACACCACCTTCAGATTGCCAAAGACCTTGAAGTTGGCCAAGGCTCCAAGATACGCCAGAAAGGCCGTTCCTCACTACAACAGAATGGACGCCTACAAGGTGATCGAGTCTCCTATTGCCTCTGAGACCGCTATCAAGCAGGTCGAGGACGGTAACACCTTGGTTTTCCAAGTCAGCTTGAAGTCCAACAAGCACCAAATCAAGGCTGCCGTCAAGGAGTTGTACGAGGTTGACGTCGAGAAGGTCAACACCATGATCAGACCAAACGGTACCAAGAAGGCCTACATCAGATTGACTGCTGACCACGATGCCTTGGACGTTGCCAACAGAATCGGTTACGTCTAATCCGCATGAGTGTATTGTAATTAATAAAAGTATAACGGACGACAACACGTGTAGTGAATTTTGAGTGGCAGACTGATGCCTTGTGTGAGTGGACTGCTGCGACAAGTAGTTAGTGGTTTTGGAGCTCCGGTTTTGATTCGACTTGCATTTTTAGGTGCTCTGCGACTTGTTCTTGCGGAACCGAAGTCTGATTTTTTGTGAAAGTGTGTTAAGGACTTGGTCCTGCTTGCTAAGTTTTGTGAAGGTGAGTTTTCATCACGTATTTGCATGCTACACCCAGGGCTGTCTTCAGCCGAAGTTGGGCATATTCTAAACCCCGCCATGAGCCCTGTGCTTGTATGCTTGACCAACATGTCTCTTTTGTTTTTGGATTTATGTTGTTGCTTGTGGTGGCCGACCGAGTGGCTAGTTGTGAAGAGAATCTCGACTTTGGTTAGGTGCTCAATTTCCAAAAGGAAGATTGTACTCATTGGATGAAGTCTAATTTCTGGAAACATAAGCACAAATAGTGTTCGACCCTTTAGTCTCCGTTTTGCAGAGTGATCAGAATTTTGAACCAATTCTTTCCTGCTTTCTATGTGGAAGATCTGTAAATAACTCGATCAGAGAGGCATGATGGACTTGTTCCAATGGTTATAAACCTGAACATTTGGGAGCAAATTGACGGTCTCTTCATATTCTTTTATCTCTAAAAATTCGTAAATTCTTGAAGTACGATCAATGCTGTTACTCAGCCATGGGGAGCATAGATAAGATCCTTTCCATGAGCATAAGCGTGAAGGCTTTGACAACCAACCCTCTTGAGACTAGACAATGGAGGATCGATAATACTATGTGGGACCTGTCTTAATTCAACTTCAGGAGGATTGTAATTTGTGGTCAATGTACACTGTTCTCAAAGATAAATCGAATAAAAGGGTGATTAAAATTGGTAGTGATGTATTCATTTGTGCATTTCCAATTTGATGTATCCATCATCTTCTGCAGGCAAGAACAACTTGAGACTTGAGAACGGAAGTGAATGTAATCTTTTACACATGTTGAATTATGGGCAGTGTTCCCGAGGTGATTCTGGGAGCTCAAGACGGCATTCGGCAATTACTTGGTCAAATGTCGTTGGTTCGCATTTATTTTGAAAAAGCAGCAGTTTTCACACTTTTTGTATTGTAAAACACATAGTAGTATTCCGGGACAATGAAGACTAGAGACATACGTCAAAACATTCGAATCTGAAATCATCTTGTCTCATGTCACAATGGACGTGTCCGGTAATAAGAACAGCGAAGCGTTAAAACATAAACTAATTTGAGAGATTAATCAAAGAAAAAAGATTTGTCCGCAAATGGCGCGGACTGGCCTGCTCCCCTAAAATGTTGAAATAAGGCACAGAGAGAAAATACACTTTGGAAAGACAGCTGGTGGGAGATCTTCGTGAGGACTCGATAATGAGGCCACAGTTGGCATTCGGTTCCGAACGCTTGTGCAGTCGCATGGTCAGAGCAAGACAACGCAACAAACTAATAGCTACCAACGATCACGCTCGTGTGAGAATGTGCTCTAAATGTATGCTTGGCGTTCTCCTTCAAGATAAACCATATACAACTGCGCGGGACGGCGAGCGATACAACCATACCGGGGAAAGTTTCATGAAAGAATATCGAGTGACTGGCAAGGCTTAACTGGCAACTTCCCCTATGTAATATGCGTGGCCAGAAAACCCGATAGTGAGACACCTGGCATATGCTATGTTCAGAGGCGATGCTTGCACGTAGCGGTTTCGCAACATTGACATGCGTAGGGAATGGAGGGTCAACAGGACTAACACCCAGCAGCGGCACACGGCAGGGAGCAATTGGCGCAACAAAGAGGCACATGCAACGATGCCCTTGGCTCACACTAGCGCAATCATAAACACCATATCTGCTATTCTAGTTGCCATTGTTCAGTTCGTGGCCTTGTCTTCTTTCGGGAGTCGCGCCTATCTGCAGAACGGCATTGCGGCGGCGTGCCCGCGCCACCCTGAGGACGCCCCGCGTGCAGGTTGTTTGGGCGCCGCCTGCATCCGCCCCAAGCACACGCGCGACCCGGCCGGCATACGCCCCGCGACTCGCTTATGAGCGCGTCTCTGCGGGCATGTTTTCCGCGTTGAGAACCTGTCTGCCGAATAGTCTTCTCACCGCAAGCATCGTTCTGTTTGGTCCAAAAGAACAAAGGCCCCTTCATCGTTTGGGATTTGCATCGCCGTTCCCTTTGTATTGTTGCTGCTTGTTTGCCCAGCTCATCCATTGCTGTACTCGCCTCGGGCACAATTCTAGGTGTTTCATCGTGCCACCTTGTGCTCCACAGCCCGCAGCACAAACCATTGTTCGTGTTCGAGGTCGTTTTTGTGTCTGGACCCAGCGCCAAAAAACACCTGAAATACTGCTGGGAAGCTTCACCCCTGGAACCGCATTGCAGTCATGCACCTGGCCCCCCTCCCCAGAAGCTCGCGTGGCGGCCTGAGCCCGGTGATTCCGCTCGACTCGCCTTTTCCGCCTTTGAAAACGGAACTTCGGTACAAGAGCGTGTACGAACGGGCGGGTTTTGACGTCAACTTGGGCCACCGCCTGCCCAGCGACGGCCGCTCGCTCTATTCAAAACAGCTACCTGTTTCTCCCGTTGGCTCCAGCCACAGCCAGGCAGACCTGCTCCGATCTGGCCGCAGAACGCCGTCGTCGGCACACTCATACGGGACGTCTACGCGAGCGCCGTCTGAAAGCCACGAAAAGCCGTCGCCCCTTGGTCTGGGAGTGGCGCAGCCGCCCTATGCACCCAACACGTGGGCCGAGGGCCACATGCCGAAAGCCCGCGTGTTCCAGGCGGCCGGCTCGCCGCGGCACCTTGCATCTCAGACCTCTTTGCCCAAAATCCAGGGCCGGCCGTCCATTGGGCGGTTCCAGCCCGACATCATCAACCCCCGCACGCGGTCGGCAAACGCGGCGGTGGAATACCCCCCAGCTAGACCCACCGGCCGCAACAAGAAGCAGCTCAAACTCAGCATTTCCGAGGGCGCACTGTCGTTGAACACGGGCGCAGAGACCTCGGTCGACACGGACTCGCCGTTCGACCAGTCACGTGCCAGCGGCGCCTCCACGCCCAGCACCTCGGCCAGCTCGGCGCAGTCTTTTGCCGGCAACCTCGCCTCGCCATCTCCGGCAAGTGTCAAGACGTCGGAACTCATGCAGAAGACGCCGTATCCCGTGCACGACACCGCGGGCTACTTGGCGCACGACCTCGGGCCCAGCCTTGCAGGCTTGGCGGACGACGTGCAGCAACACAAGGCCTTCGACCCCCGGGGCTCTGCCCCCCACGGCTCTGTGGCACGACAGGCCTCGAAAGCCGCGTTTGTTCCCGCCAGGGGCGACTTGGCCGAGTCCTTCGGGCGCGTGGATTTGTCCGACGCCGCCCGCTCGACCCAGGGCGGCCCGTATCACGATTTCGACACGGCAAGAGACGCGGGCGAGCAGGCAGAACCACTGTCGAACGATTACGAGGACTTTTTGCAGACGTCCGGCCACGGCGCGACGACGGACGTGCGGGCGTCGCGCTTTTCCACGATCAGCTCCATCATTTCCAAGCAGCCCAGATCTTTTGGCCCGGATAGTGACGGAGAGGACGAGGACGACGAGATTGCGCGCGAGTTGCAGAGGCAGCTCGAGCAGATCAAGAACGGCAGTCTGATCAGCCTTGCAGCCGAAGCCGCGGGCCACAGCGAGGACTCGTTTGTGACGGCCACCGGGTCTTTTGTCCAGAATGCTGCCGCGGTTCCGTCCTTCTGCATATCCAGCATAGGGGACGGTCCCGGCGAAATTGGCGGAGAAGAACAAGTGCATGGGTGGGATGGTTTCAGCGAAAGACGCCATTTGAGCGAAAAAGACAGTCTGACCGAAAGAGACGATTCCAGTGGAAGAGACGATTCCAGCAGAAGAGACGATTCCAGCAGAAGATACAATATGAGTCAAGACGGCCAGCGCAGCGAGAGTGAATGGGACGACAACCTCAACGACACCCATGAAACGACCCGCTACGACGAACACGCACAAGCCCAAAAAACGGCGGATGGGGCGGGCGGCCCATTCACGCCGCAGTTCAAGCAATCGCAGTTCGTAGACGACTCGTTTGGCGGCACGCCGGAGACCATCAGGCCGCTCAGTCCCAAGACTCATTTGGTGGAGCAGGAGCTCGAGGACATCAATTTCAAGTGCCAGCAGGAGCTCGAGGACATCGACTTCAGGGACCAACAAGAGCTCGAGGACGTCGACTCCAAGGTCCAACAACAGCTCGAGGACGTCGACTCCAAGGTCCAGCAGGACGACCAGGACATCCAGGACGTCGAGCCTCGGCCACACACGCCGCCGGTTCCGGAGGCCCAGAACGATATGTACATTCTCAGGCAGAACCCCACGCCGCGCGAGTTCGATGCGTTTCCGAAGTCCGTGATGGACCCGAAGTTCCCGGCCTTCCGCACCAGCGAGGTTTCCCCCAAAATGCCCGCGGGCACCGGGCCGTGCCGCTCCTGCGGGGCGAACATCGAAGCTGACGCAAGAGGCCCGCAGAAACCCGTGTATTCGAAGCTGGGGGACTTGAGTGGACAGTGGCACCGCGCGTGTTTCAAGTGCTCGTACTCGGGCTGCCCCATTACGTTCAACAAGAAGGTCACGCCTTACGTGTTGCTTGACAATGCGTTCTGCAAGCACCACTACCACACGCTCAACAACACGCTCTGCGAGACGTGCCACAGCGGCATCGAGGGCGAGTGCATCGAGAACGAGTTGAAGCAAAAGTGGCACCTTTCGTGCCTCCTGTGCACCAGATGCCACGAGCTCATCAGCAGTGACTATTTCTTGGTCAACCATCAGATCGTGTGCGAGGCTGACGCCAGCAAGCTCATTGCGGAGCTTGCGCACGCGGGCTTGAGCACGCTGGACAAGGTAGAGAAGAGAAGAACTAGAATGTTGTTTATAGAATAAGGACGGGGTTGAGTGTGCTACTAGACGAGGCGATTGAAAGTGCCCGTGTTGCGCTTAGGCCCACGCCTCCGTCGGTATCAGTAGTCCCTGTATTTCGGCGGCTTGCCGAGTTCCTGCGGCTCATCTAGGAGATCAAGACCACGGGCGTTCGTGCCCGCCGGAAGGTCCTCGTCGTCATCGGCAATGATGAAATGGTCGTCGTCAAACTCTGCGGCGTCCAATTCCAAATTGGTGCCTAGTTCTGGGCTCTCGCCGAAATCACCAAACACCAAGTCCTCGTACATCGCGTCGTTGTTCGGGCCTCGTTCGTGGTAAGACTCCAACTTCTGCTGCATCCTTCTGTAGATTATATAGCTGGCAAGCGACACCGCACAGCCCGTGAGTAGGATGCTGAAAACATCGAGCGCCTTGGCAGCTGCCGGCCTCTCGGCGTCGCCGAGATTCTTGATGGTGTGCCCTATGAACACGTGCATGAACATCTTTGGGGACGTGATCACCGATGCCAAAAGATAGGTGGAGGCCGGGAGATTGGGAATTGCCGCCAATGCTCCATTGGACAACGAGTACGGCAACGGACAGAGCCTCAAAAGAATAAGGAGAAACAACGAGGCGTCCTCCTTCAAGATCTCGGCGAACGCTCGGAACTTCTCGTTCCTCGCAACAAGCCGCTCGGCCTGGTTACGAAGAAAATACCTATATACCATGAACGACGCAAAAGAGCCGATTGTCGATGCTGCGGCCAACAAGGGCCAGCCGCCGGGGAAGCCATAGACCATTCCGCAAAGCATGGATAGTGCAGAGAAGCCAAGTAGAGGAGGGAAGCCCACAAAGAATATGGCCACAAACAACGCAAGCCCACCGAATTTGGATGCCCTTATCAAGTCAGAAACATCGGCCATGGCCGCGATGAAGCGCTTGTGGAAGACAAGCAAAGTGACTCCCGCCACGAATCCCAAGAGGCCACCCACTATGCATAGGGCCTTTTTTTTCGTCAGCTGGCTCTGGAACCATTCGCTGGAGGTACGCCCCAAATCATTTAGAATCTGGACTTGAGTCTGGAGCATAATCCCGGGTGATGTGGTGGGTTCAGGCATGTGTATTGGCACGTGGAGGGCCGGGATTATAGGAGCTGTTTTATGCTGGAGCCTCCTACACAGATATTAGAGAGGCGAAGCACGCGCGAGATCTGGGGTCTAGGAAAAAGCGCACTATCATAGAAAATGCGTCGTTGACAGGCTTTTTTGTTTTTCGTGGATACTCGATGATGCCTGAATTTTGCCTCATTGAATTACCGGGCCACGCCTGGAAACATTTCATGGCCTGGTTTGTTTTCGACAAAATGATCCCGGGGATTGGGAGGTATTCATGCCTAATAAAGCGAAGATGTATTGCGGAGCCACTACACCAGAGAACAATCGTAAGAGTAGCCACATTTTTCCCACACGTGGAAAAATAAACAGACTCCTAAAGACATTTTAATCTCAGGAAAGAAAAAGCTAACCAAGAAAGGAGGGCTTTGTTTTCCTGATCATCGCTGCAAGTTCTACGTGAGGTGGAGCAGCCAGTTCCTGAATGCAACTTTAAAACGGCACTACGAGGTTCCTCAATTATATAAGACCCAATTGGGATATTAGGATCTCTTGATCGACCTAGATGTCGTAATTCGAAGCAGGCGACTGGAGAATGATCCTGTCGTAGCCATGGCTCCAAACTAAGCGAGTGACAGCAGTTGGATGCAGGAAGACGGAATGTCTAATTATATCGAATCAGGATGAGCCCAACAGGCAATGAGGTTGATGCACTCATCAATATAATCAAGTTACTAACTTTCCGGCGCTTGATTACTAAGAGCTCATGGTCACGTAGAATGGGCCGTAAAAAACTCGTTTAATTTTTCCCACGATCAATTTTCATCAGATTTGCTTAAGAGCTGTGAAATTTATTTTGCACCCACAATAAAAGCTTTGTAGCACAAATCACATTTCTGATTCCTATTTACCTTTCAAAAATGCTTACGAATGATGATGGCACCAACTTTGATGTACCGAGCTGGCGGGCGCAGATACGAAACAGGAATTTGTAAGAACGCTTGCCAAAATATTCTGAAATGGCGCAACTCAAGATGAATGCTTCGGACCTAGTCTCATGTTTCTTGAAAATACTAAAATCTGATGGCTATGGTGATAATGAGACGAGTGGGGCGTTGGATTCCAGTAATTCTTCGTAAAGCAAACACTGTTAGCAAACAAAATGACTAACCCGACTATCTACAAACCCGAACTCTATGACCGATTAACAAGAGGTTTGCAACTTCGTAATAGTACACTGGCTAAAACTCAATTCTACATACCAGCTGGCTCTTACCAAAGCAGAAACAAAGAAATGCAGTACGCGAGCCGGGAGTAAAATACGACAGAGAATGGAAGATCACTACCAAGGCCTGAAGATGGCATGCAATAATACGTCTAGCAACAAACCCTGCCAATTGACTCTGCCTTGGTACTACACCTGGACGAGAAACATATCCACGTATCTGCGGAGCCGAGTCATCTTCACAGACAGATCATAGACTGTTGCTCTCACAAGTTCTGCCTACGGCTGTTGAGGAATTCGAACAATGCAGACACGATGCGAAAATGCTGAAGGGAACCTTTTCAATCATTTGCACCCAAGTCCATCAGACTGACTATGATCTATGACGTCATGATGCCGAGCACGGGTCACCACTGCTCGGCCGAAGACAAATCTGTTCTTGGCGGGTGTACATATAGACGCGCCCGTGCCAAATTTGAATGTCGAAAAATGGCTGGAGCAAAGGCACTAAATCGTGCAGCCGCAGAAAGAGCACACCGAGAAACCCCAGAAAGATACTAAGTCTCGTTCTCATATAACGAGGGCTTAGACGCAGCTCACGTGGTTGAGGGGCCAGTGCCAAGGGTAGCACGCACGTCCGAATTTCCGAGCCAAGCCCCGCGGAGCAACCGGAAGCGCAATTTCACTTCTGCGCCCTAAGACGAAAATATGATATCGCCCACAAAATTTCACAGCCCGTGTGCTTCAGCATACCTTGAGATATCCGCATTCCTCTTTACAGCTAGATTCCCTCGAATGGAGACGTAAATACCCGTTCTAGTTCTGATGCCCGCTGCTCTTGCTGCAGGTATTGCATCTCTGCGCACCGGGACCTAATCGCGAAGCGCAGCCATTAGCACCTCCAAACAGGTAATTGGGCCCCGCATTCAGTCAGCTGATATTTAATCTCCGCAGATCCAGCTAACTTCGGAACCTCCTTTGGATCCTCTTTTTCTCAGCACCCATTCTCTGTGTTTGTTCTCGCTATCTCAGCTCAGCTTATAAAACATAGAAAATGAGGCTCAGCGTGTTGGCTTGGGTGGCCACCGTTCTCGCGGGATACGCCCCATTTGAAATAGACTGCCCTGAGGGGAATTTGCTTCGGTTAGCCAACAGCCTTTCTGAAGAAGAAAATGACTGGGTGACGGAGAGACACAAAGTCACGGACTCGTACCTCGAAACGTTTCTCAATGACGCGATGTTGGACGATTTCGATGCGTCTTCGTTCCTCCGCAATACCACCAATAACCGGTCCATCACCATTGGCCTTGCCTTTTCCGGCGGCGGCTACAGAGCCATGTTGGCCGGTGCGGGACAGCTTTCGGCGCTTGACAACAGAACCGAGGGTGCACATGCCGAGGGCTTGGGCGGCTTGCTCCAGGCATCGACGTATTTGGTCGGGCTTTCCGGGGGAAGCTGGCTCGTTGGATCCGTGGCAAACAACAATTTCACCAGCATCCAGGACATTGTGGACAACAAGATCGATATCTGGGACTTGGAGTACTCGGTTGTCAACATGGGTGGCTGGAACCCCATCGAGGCATACCAGTACTATAAAGACCTCTACGACGACGTCAGTGCCAAGGAGGACGCCGGGTTCGACGTTTCCTTGACTGACACTTGGGGCCGCGCCTTGTCGCATCAGTTTTTCACTGAGCAGAGCGACTATGGCGAGAACATTTTGTGGTCCGGGATCCAGGACATTCCGGAGTTTGCCGACCACGAAATGCCGTTTCCCATTGTGGTGGCAGATGGCAGGACGCCCGGAACTTTTGTCATCAGTGGAAACTCCACGGTGTTTGAGTTCAACCCCTTCGAAATGGGGTCCTGGGACCCGTCTTTGTACGCGTTCACGAAAACCAAGTACTTGGGCACGGATGTATCGGACGGCGTCCCCGTGAATGGCTCGTGTATAGGCGGATTCGACAACTCGGGCTTTGTCATGGGGACGTCTTCCTCGTTGTTTAACCAGTTTGTGTTGCAGATCAACACCACGTCCTTGTCCAGCACCATCCAAAGTCTCATCAGCCTGTTTTTGGAGGACATTTCGCAGGACGAGAATGACATTGCCCTGTATAAGCCCAACCCGTTCCAAAACTTCAGTGAGGCCGGCGTCGACAGCATTGTGCAGAACGACACCTTGTACTTGGTCGATGGCGGCGAAGATTTGCAGAACATTCCGTTGTACCCGTTGTTACAACATCCTCGGGAAGTCGATGTGATTTTCGCCTATGACAACTCTGCGGACACGGACGAGAATTGGCCCGACGGAGCGTCAATGGTCGCCTCCTATCAGAGACAGTTTTTAGAGCAAGGCAACGGCACCATCTTCCCCTATGTGCCCGATGTCAATTCGTTTCGCAATCTCAATTTGACAGCCAAGCCAGCGTTTTTTGGATGCAACGCCAGAAACCTCTCGTCGTTGCTTGCAGATGATGCAGATGAAGACGATGTGTACGACTCGCCGTTGATTGTGTACACGGCCAACCGGCCATTTTCCTTCCACTCAAACACATCCACCTTCCAGCTCTCGTATGAGGACCCTGAAAAGCTTTCGATGATTCGAAACGGGTTTGAGACCGCGTCTCGACTCAACATGACTTTGGACGACGAGTGGAAAACATGTGTGGCATGCGCAATTATCAGGCGTGAGCAGGAACGCCAGGGCATTGAACAGAGCGACCAGTGCAAGCAATGTTTCGAAGAATATTGCTGGGACGGCACAATCGATGACTCCGCCCCGGGCGTGAACTTCACGACAGAGGGGACCACAGATGATGCTGAGAATACTGGTAATGTGAGCACCAGTTTTGGGTACTCGCTCATCAGATCCAACAAGAACTATGCGCTTCTTCAAGCACTCGGCTACGGGCTTCTTGCGGTCGTAGTATGTACCTATTCTGCTCTCTGAGACACACAAGCGACATCGAAATTAGCTGTGGAACAATAAACCTGTATCGGAATACCGATGAAACTAGGACGATTTTTGTCGAATATTAAAGTAATCCGATGCACCCGATTGCGTCTTTTTAAAAGCGCTTTAATTTTGTTTGAAAGTGTACCACGCAAGAAAACAATTTCTCCAGTAATTGGCAATTTGTTTCTAGGTTCTTCTCGGGATTTCTGGTAATGTAGCCTGTATACCCAAAATATTATCTAAAATTACTGTTGCTTTCCTTCTGTACAATTTTGTGTTGTGGGTTTGGTATCAAGCCATGAAACAGGGTCCGTTCAAAGATGAAAAAATTGAATAAAAAAGATGACCCTCTTTGTCTATGGAGCTATTGGATGTTTGTGGAACCATGTGGTCGACCTATGATTCCACACAGTGTGCAACAAGAATAATTAGGGCCCACCTCACTGATTCAGCTTTAACCTATATACCACAGTGATCATACCAATAGCATAGAATCCGAATTGATTCAAAAGTAACCTTCGTTTGATCCGTGCTTCATTTTATCCGTGCTTCATTTTATCGTCACGTGCAATTCAAAACACTAGGCTTTATCTTGTCTGTTGTGTTCTTGCACGTTCCACCTCTTCGTAATTGCCAGGCTCAGCTCCCATTTTATTTAAAGTTTCACACCGCAGTGATACACCTGCAGTTGAGTGACCACTTGTCCGAATAATACGCAAATGATTGATGAGAATTTCTTTGATCAATTGAAACTAATAGTATTGTAGAAGGAATCAAAGATTTCTGACCAATTTCGGAGCCATCACCGATGCCGCACTGGCACTGGCACTGGCATGCTAGTATAGTACTCCAATAGCCAGCAATCCTACCTACAGTGCACTTTGCTCATACCCCGCAAAACATTCAAAGCGTCATGACGTCATTGGATTACTTCATATTCACGTTAACATGACCATAATATGTCCATTTTGTGATCACTGATCGGTAGCAAAAATAAAACAATACATTCACTGCGCGGAAACAATTGCCGGATTCTGCCCTCGTTATCTGGCGTCGCGCTCTCTTGCCAAAAACGGCGATAACTTCCTGCGCATTCCGTGGCAAATCTGCTTGATATATTGCCTGGATAACTCGGCCGAATTCTTTGTCAGAACATCTGCCTTTCCCTCAAAGCATTCGTATCAGCGCAGCAGAATAAGCACCCAACAACACAATGTCCTTCACAACCAATTCAGAGATTGCTGTCCACGACGGTAAGTTGTATAAGTTGTCACATGACTCCACCACCACCAACACGAAGATGGATGTCAACGTTTTTGTCCCTCCCTCGAAATCTGACAAGATCCCGGTTTTGATGTTCTTGTCAGGTTTGACATGCACACCCAACAATGCCACCGAAAAGTCGTTCTTGACCTATTTCGCCGCCAAGTACGGATTTGCCCTTGTGTTTCCAGATACTTCTCCAAGAGGAGCCAATATTCCTGGTGAAGACGACTCATATGACTTTGGTACTGGCGCCGGATTTTACTTGGATGCCACGCAGGAACCATGGTCCAAGAACTACAACATGTACTCGTACGTGCACCAAGAACTTTTGGAGAAATTGGCCGAGCAGTTCTCACAGCTAGACTTCTCTAAGATCTCCATCACCGGTCATTCCATGGGTGGATACGGTGCCATTGCGGGCTTTTTCAAAAACCCTGGTAAGTACACGAGTGTCAGTGCCTTTGCGCCGATCTCAAACCCCCTGAACTGTGCCTGGGGCGAGAAAAATTTCAGTGCTCATTTGGGCAACGACAGAAACGACTGGGTGAAGTATGACCCTGTGGACTTGATCAAACATTACACGCACGAGAACCAGCCGGACATTTTGATCCATCAGGGCGCTGCTGATGACTTCTACAGAAAAGACAAGTTTTTGCAACCGGAAAACCTCGTCAAGGGTGCCAAGAGGAGCGACTACAAGGGTAAGATAGACTTGAGGATTGTGGAGGGCTACGACCACCTGTACTTTTTCATCAGCTCATTTGCTGAAGAGCACGCCAAGCACCATGCGAAGGCGTTGGGCTTGCTCGAATAACTATCAATCGGAGATGCTCAGTACAAACTATGAGCAAAATGAGGTTGTGGGGTGAGGTTTACTCGATGCGAATGCGTTGTGTTGTTGAAACTTGATGTATGAGAAGAATTCTGGGGGTGATTTGCGACTCGAATAAACACGAACACCACCATTCCGCCTAAGATATGACTGACTGCTTACGTAGCTTTCCTCTCTGAATTTCTTCTCGGCCTGCTAGAGGTTTTCAAGACCTGGTTTTCTCGTAGAGGCGGGGAATTTACACGAGTCTTGAAGATGTACTATTAAAACCATGCAACTGATGCAGTGGTATGATGACATAAGAGGGCGCTCTTCTCCATGTTTTGGGAACCAAAACTCACACCACTCCGGCACGTATATTGCTCAATTTTTTTAGATCAAAGAGTCTCTCTAGTAAAAATTGACTATCGACAGTCCCGCCTGTAGTTCTAGGGGACATACACCGCAAGGCACACGACAAAAGCAGTCGACCTGCGCAACAGGGATTCAAAGCCATGAGGTGACCCGCCTCTCAAAGATAATCCAGAGGCTTTGCGAAACCAACTCATGACAGCCATGTCCGACGCGCGGGCTGCTCAACTCACTTATACATCTCCCCCAGGAACTCTTTGTACTTGGATTCCCACGAGGCACACCACTTTACCTTCGCCTCGCTCTTCTTGTTTGTGTCTCTCAACATGGCGATGATTTTGAAGCATGCGTTGTCAATGCCAAAAGCGTGTTTCTCCACAACATCGTCGAGCGTCTGGTTGAGCATGAGTTCCACTATAAGCGTGTCGATCTCTCTGGCCACGACAGTCTCTGTGTCGACGATTTGGTCGATGGTATGGCCCGAGGTGATGTTGGAAAGAGACTTGTTGATGGAGAGGAACAAAAGCTTGACGAGCTTGAACTTCTGGAGCCAAACCTTGCTGTACTCCACTAGTTGATTCCTTTCTTGGGAGATTTGTTTCGCGGAGGCGCCGTCGTCATCGTCAGAGACCGGAGGGGCAGCGCCGTCATCCAGCTCGTCCTCGTCATCCGAAAAATCATCTTCTAGCCCGAAGGGGTCCTCGTCGTCCATATCCTGCGGGTTTTCTGCCCAGTCAGCAAACTCATCAAGGCCATCTTCGATGAGAGACAAGTGCATTTTGGTTTTCTTTTCTAGGGCCTTCAACTTGCCGCCCTCGACGAGCTTCGTGAGGCCATCGCAAAGGGACCAGATCTTGCCCACCGAGACTAGTCTCGGGTCCACTTCCGGCTTGCTCTTCTCCTGCCGTTGCGGCGCTGGGGCCTCTGCCAACAGCTCTTCGTACAAGCCTTTCAACTCCGCCGCAAAGCTGGTGGCGGAGACGACGAGGCTGAGGGCAGCCGACCTGATTTCATCGTAGAAAAGCTGCGAGATGTGCCCCGGCGAGAGCTGTGCTAGAGCAGAGAGGAAAAGCACAAATGACTTGGAGAGATCGGCCACGGTGGAGACCCGGGCCTCGCCCAGCTTGCGTAGTTTCGAAGGCTCGTAGATGATTCCGACCTTGGTGGTGTGCGCCCTGATGAGCTTGGTGATCTTCACCAACTCCTGGAGAGGGTCTTCCACGGTGGCGGCGGGCACGTTGTCCTTCAAGTCTGCGTCCGCAGCCGATAGCTGGATGGCCCAAAAGCTGAGCGCATCTTCGAGCGCCTGCAAGACCGGCAATACGTTCTCGCCCATGGATGCTTCAGGAAACCAGCGTGTTTTGCAGTCGCCGGAGGCTGGCGAGGGAAGTACGATGAGACCCGGCGTGCGCGGCCCAGGCATGCGCGGCCATGCGCGGCGGCATGCATGTTGCAGCTGGAACACCACGGCGCCGGGCTGGGGTCGACAAGAAGTGGCTGCTTTCGGGCCGGGGAGGCCTCTAAGTACTCTTGGCGCCCGCGGGTGCCGCGCTACCAGTCGTCGTTATCGTCGTCGTCGTCGCTGTCCGCGACCTTGTTCTTCCTCTTGTTGAGCGCACTGGCTAGCGCATCCGCCAACGTCTCGGGCTGCCCGCCGGGACCGCTGCCGGGGGCGCCGCCGGCAGGCGCCACGGGCTCCCCGCGCGCCTCCTGGAGCAAGACACTGGGTTTCTCCAACAGGCTCTTGTCGGTCTTTTTGAGCATGCCGACCCCGGCGCCTCTAATGGACGACAACAAGGCGTCCCGCGAGGCGTCTGCCGCCGGCAACGGCGCGGCAGGCGCGGCAGGCGCCGCGCTGGGAGTCTCCCC